TATTATTTTCATTGCCGAAATTGGACAGCATTTTTGGCGTAGGGTTTGACCACCTGTCAAGTGCAGAATGTCATATGAGAAGTTTCTACACCTATAGGAATGTGGCTTTAAGCCTGTGGGGCGTATCCTTTGTTTACCTATGGGACTACCGCTTGCTTTACCACCGCATCGTTGACGACCCTTCCCGTTGCACAAATGTTTCAAAATCAAGGAGCGCATATCATCCCTGTGGTACATTGCCAGACGGTTCACATTGGGGGTCCAAAGGAAGGAAAAGAAACTAAAGGGAGGGAAGGATCATATTACTCCCCCGAGTGTACACATCATGTGTAATGGCAAGACTGCAATTGTAACGAGGTGTCACTCTGTGTGTGCATGGCGGACTTACGGCATATAACCGCTCGGGAGTCGCTTCCATGTCGCTAACGACACTGTCGCCTCTGCGCAGCTTCGCCCAGCTAGAGAAACACCTGCATGATGTCCTCCTCGATGAACGCGGCCAAGTCGCTCATAAAAGCAGCTGCATGGGAGCCGTAAATGTGGCGGTGGTCGCAGGTTAGGGTCATCATCATGCCCCGCTGAATCTTAAGGTGTTCGGAGTACTCAACGCTCCCAATGTTGGTCCCGACGGACAGGATGCACGACACCTTCGGGGGCAGAGTCGCGTCGAACTGATAGGTGTTGAACATGCCCAAGTTGGAGATGTAGAAGTTGCTTCCCGTCATTTCGCCGGGCGTTAGCAGGCCTTGTTTCCCTTTCTCGACTAGCTTCTGCGCGGGGGGGAGAAAAAATAAAATAAAAAAAAATAAAATAAAAAATAGCACCTTTTTCCTGAACAGAAGCGCCATTTTGTGAAAATCGCCTGAACAGGCAATACACTTTTGCCCAGTCGCTCCTCCCAACAGAACTTCTTACGAACCTTCCACTCGCCGGCCAGGGTATATATGTCCGTCTTGTTAACCCGCTTGAGCACTGGCGTCAGCAGGGTGTTCTTCAATCCCAGGGCGTTGCCAATGTGAACGTGTTCGTTAAGTAATATTTTCCCTTCCCCCTCATCGATGAAGGTTGAGTATATGATGGGATGCTTGAGTAACACATTCGACACGGACTTGCAGAGGAGGACAGTCATGTTAATTTTGTCTTTAACTTGCTCATACAGTTTTAGGAGAGCGTCTGTTTTTATAAAATGAGTGATGCGGAACACTGGAATGGATAGTGTGCGCATCATGTTGTTTTTGATTGCTTTCTGCATGTTGGTTAATTCAATTATTTTTTCCTTCGGGGGGGTATCTTCTCTTCTGCGTTCTAGGTGTGAAACGACATCTTGGTACGTTATACGTCCAGGTACTTTGGGTCGTCTGTGTAAAGGGGAAGAGGCGGTGTGTATAAAAAATGTAAAAGCAACTGTCGATGTGTATTATGTGTATATCTGCTTCTGCTAAATTCTTTGCTACATTGGTGTGCCGATTTGCACTTACTTAATGTCGGCTGGGGTTAGCTTGTTCTGCTCCATCAGGTCGGCTGCGGAGGGCAGCACAATTGGGACGTCTCTCCCTTTGGGGGGCGGCTGAATGGGGGGTAGTGGAATGAGTGAAAGAAATGGAATAGGTGGATGGAAAGGAATAGAGTGGGTAGAAGTGAATGAATCCGATTCACATTGAATGGCGCAGAAAGGCGGCGAATCAGAGCAGATCACAGCGAATACAGGTCGTGCACATCGCTACGCCACGTAACATCTGCGCAGTTTTTTATTTCCCCTTCTCCTTTCCGTCCCTACCGTGTCCCGCTTCTGATCTGTTGAGCCTTTCCCAGGTGTACCATCGCCACGCGAACTGCACAATTGAAAGTCAAGTTGGTAAATAATAAGCACTCCGGGGGGTACACTTGGGTGTCTACTTCTGATCTCGTTCTTGCTCACCTGAAGAAGTCCCCCGAAAGGTTGTTGTACTTGTCGCAGTTTAGAAGGAGCCGCTCTTCCATTGTTCTCTTGTCGGAGGCGCTTTGAGGGGGGTGGTGGTCATGAGAGTGGAAAATGGGGTGACGAATAGGGCGGCAGCCAGAGTGACATTTATCGTGGCACGTAAGAGCACGTACCACGTGGGGGTAACACCCCCCAGAGCCGAGCCCAATTCAAAGAAGAGAGCAAGTCTACCTCAGGTTTTGCAGCAGAAGTTCTCCTTCCTGGGTGCCGCTGAGGGCCTTCTTGTAGTGCCTCAAAATGTTTTCTTCGTTTACGAGTTGGACGTCCCTGGGGGGGGTAGCGATGAAATGGAGAAGCGGTGAAGTGACGGAGCGGTGAAGAACAGACATGTCACACAGTTTCCTCTTAGTCTAACGGTGTCTGCTGTCCCTGTGGGGGATGTCCTGCCTGGGGAAACGAGAAGGGGGGTGAAAATGAGAGGAAGGAAAGAAACACCAACGGGACATGCCATACCAACAGCAAATGCCGTAACAACAGCACATGTAGTAGCGATACCACATGCCGTACCAACCGCACATGTCGTACCTTTTTGGGAGAGATGATGGCAACCGGTTTGTCCAAATCGGCGAACTGTCCTTCTTCGATGAAAATCTTTTTAACGATGCCTAGGAGGTTCCAAATATAGCAAAGGGGTGAAAAATGAGAAGTGATCTGGACTGACACAGCGATGGGGAGGAAAATGTATTGCTGGAGAGGACGCGGCTCTCTCTGGCGTGGACACAATGTAATAACCGTGACAGGGACTCTCCACTTCGATGGTGCTCTTGTCGTCTTCAACATGGAAAAGGATTTCGTCCTTGTGGATATATTCATTTTCTTTGCGGGTCCATTTACTTATTCTCGCTCTGTTCTTCTTGTTACTTACGAAGGGCACGAATATTTTGTGCTCACCTGTTTGGTCAGCGGCTTCGTCACTTGTTTGTTGCTGTGCAGTCTGTATGTGGATTGAGTTTTTCCCCGTCTCTTTCTCTATCTTTGTGGTGTCTTCTGTGTGTATGACGCTGTTTTCCTTCGCCACGCGTTCTATGTATCCTCGTTGCGAGCTCTCCCCGGTTGCTCCTGGGGGGGAGTCGTCACTACGAGCTTCTATTTGTTCGTCTTTTTCCGTGGTTAGAATGCCAAGGGTGTCCCCGACCTTCGCTTCACTTCCGTCTCCCATGTGCTTCACGCGGAGGAAGCCTGCGCGGGGCCATTTGAGTATGTGTGTATTGGGGGGGATGCAAGTGGAAATTGGGTGGTGCACACCTCGGCATCGCTCCATCCTTCCCCCATTGATCATGCACATAGGGCTCATTTCTTATATTTTATTTTTTCTCTTTTTTCCAGGTTGGGCCATCTCTCCCTTGGGCGTACCCTCGTCGAAGGCCTCCACGTCCATGTCTGCCTTGTCACTTTCGACCGTCATGATGATGTCACCGAGCTGAGGGGGAGAAGGTCAGAGGGGGAGAAGTTCATCTGGAGGAGTATTCCTCAGGGGGGGGAGCAGTCCGTTTGGGAGTGCCCCCAAAATAAGGGGAAGTCTAGCCATATAGGGGGGAAGATCCCAGTGCTGATGCCCATCTGCACATACATTGACATACTCCCCAATGTGTTTATTCCACTTGACGATTTTTCCCGATGTCATGGTACTTGACAGGGCAGGCATCTTTATTTCAATCTGAGAGAAGATAACCCCTCTTGTTTTTTTCACTTTGTTCTGAGGAGAAGCTCCCCTGGTATGGCTCAAGGTGCTTATAAAGCCATGTTTCTTTGGCATGGAAATGCAAGTGGAGATGCGCAGGCAGAGGATGAGGGGGAGCCAGTGCAGGAGCATCGTATATAGTCTGGCTTTCCGGCAGTGCAGTAGCGATGAGGTGGCAATGACGTAGAAGCGAGGTGGCCACGAAGTGGCAACAGATTCGTCCAAAAGAAGGATGATACAAATCTCCGCGGAGCAACCGAGCGGGTAGAACAATGGTTAATATCATCGAACCCTTCCAAACGCTGCCCAGTGACGTCGTCAGGGAAGGACGTCCTCAGAGAAGGAAGGATGGAAAATCCCTTTGATAAGTGCGAACAAGTGGAGTATAATCTTTGAGGAGAGTTTCTTGGTTGCCAAATACAATCGCATATAGAGGGGGGGAAGGTACACTACACAAAGATGAACCACAAGAAGGAATTAAAAATGGAAGGCACGAGATGGGCATAGGGGAGAATAGTGTACACATGATGGGATGGGGGAGTAAGAACGAATGGTTAAAAAAAAAAAAAAAAATAAAATATCTTTTTTTATGGCAAAAGGAGAAGCGGACGACAGGGTGTTAATCCTCGTAACATCAGCTGGTGACTTCGTCCTTGGGGAGATCCGCGTCGTCGTTTGTCTTGATGTTGATTTGCTTCCTCTTCACGGTTCCTGAGAGGGGGTCGAATTGGACATGCGAAGTGGGAGTAGGTGTGGATACGTGTTGATGAGTGTAGAAGCTTGTGGAAGCGTCGCGGTTGCAGTACACGTTGCAGTGCATGTTGCAACCCGTGTTGCATGGCGCACATCGGGGCGGCACAGAATGGGGCGGCGGCGCGGTGAGGGAGGGGGAGGAAGGAAAAAAATAAATAAAAAATGAAGAGAATAAATAAAAAATAAAGAAAAAAAGGGGCCAAAAAAAAAAAAAAACATGGTGAGGTAGCCGAAACGAACTGCTGGTACATTCGAGAGAAGCTTCCATCTCATTGCGTAACACGTGTAAGAGCAGCCCGTCCGTGCAAAGTCATCCTCGCCAAGAATGCAATATGTTTCGTCGCTTCACCGCTTCGCCACTTCATCGTTTCCATTGCTCACCTGATAGGTTAAATTCGCGCAAGAGGGCTCGCTTCTCCTTCTTATTCTTCTTCGTCACCATACGGGTGTTCCTGTTCAGCTCGTCGATGTATTCCTCCGACGGGAGTTCCATCTGGCGCGCTCGCTTTTTGTGCTTGTGTAGCTTCTGGCTGAACTGCTCCTCCACTTCTTTTTCTATGTCCTTTTGCATGAGATCCTGTGTATGGAGGGAAGGTGAGAAAGAGAAGGGGAAGTAAAACGAGTGAATGACTGTTTCGTCCAAAGGGAGGCACAGAAGCACATGGCGATAAACGCAAATCAGTCTATTGCACCGCAGATCACTGCGTATGGCGGCGAATCGTCGTTTCGCCCCGCTGATATGTCTCACCTTGAGGAAGGTGTAGAAGCGATGGAGAACCTTGCGCAGGAGAGCGACGGTCTGGTTGACGTTGATGCTGATCTCGTCTGAAATCTCCTGGCAGGTTTTCTTTTGGAGGGACACAGCGTAGAGAATGGTATACTCAAGGAAGGTAAGCTGGATAGGGACCTTCCGGAAGAGAATCAAATTGGCAACCGTCTGCATGAGGTAGAGGATGTCCGAGAAGGGTTTCGACTCCATGACGAACCGCTTTAGTCGGCATATGTCGTTGGGGTGGAAGAAGTAAAAGAGGTTCTCTTTGCTGAGTAGCTCGTCGTCATAGAAGCAGGCGTAGTGGTCCGCATCCTCCTGGGAGAAGAACGATCCGTTTTGTTCCTCTTCTTTTACTTCTTCCCCTTCTATTTCTCCCCTGTTTGACTTCTCCCTCGGGAGGAGAAGCTCATCGCGCGTGGGACTCGCCAATATGATTGGGTTATTATGGAGAAGATTGAAGACGACAAATGACTCCAACCTTCTGAAGGCGTAGGGCAGCAAGTTGCAGAGGCTACGGACAAAGTCGAGATAGAAGTTGGTGAATACTTTCTTCAGCTTCTGATTTAGATGTCTTAACATGAGGAGACTGAACTCTCCTGTTATTTCGTTCTTCTGCTGCTTGAGGTAGACGGGGATGAAGCTGTTTTTTTGCCAGAAGATGAGCAACCCCTTGGTCAGTCCGAAGCAGGTGCCCACGTAGTCGACGTGGCTGAGTTGGCTGTCGAAGAAGATGCGTCCATCGGTGTGGTCGCCTTCACCGCTGCATCGATACAGAATGACGTTCTCCCGGTAGGGCGATGCAGATTCCCGAGCCGGTCCATTATACATGCTGTAATAGTCGAAGACCTTCCGCAGGAATTGCGAGCCGTAATTCAAATTTTGTATCGAAGGGTGGATAGAGATACGGACCACCCTTATTCCTATGTAGCTGTAGAAGTAGTAATCAAAATGCTCGGTAACTAGGTATGGCATTAGATTTCCTTCGAATTCGTTTGAAAGGGGGTGCTTCGCCGCGGCTGGGGCAGCAGTTTGTCCATTTGTGCAGCCATCCGAGGGGTCCCCCCCCGGTGTGCAGTTGCCATTTTGGCTGTGGTCACCATTCGAATTGCCATTGGTATCGCCATGGTTCTGCCCCACTTTGACGATATCCTCCATCTTGACGAACCGTCTGGCCTCTCCCGGGCGAACAACCCCGTCGATGGCGCAATGCACCACGCCGTAAATGTCTAACTCGTCCACTTCCTCAGCGGAGAGGTTATTGCAGTCTACGTTGCCGCTAAGCAGGACAAACAGGTGGTGCTGCTGCGAGTCCAAGATCATAATCAAATCGTTTGGTGTATTCTTGTAATGGGAAGTCACAAAAAGGGTCATTATTTTTCTGAGCAAATTTTCACTCGTCTTGCTGAAACGTTTGAAGATGCTTTTATTCACAAAGTACATTTGACAATTGGGGGGAGAGCAAAGGGAGTGTCTCAGTTTGAATGGTTCGTTGCAGTTGAGGCAGAGAAAGTTATTCAGCCAGGCTTCCACCTGATCGTTATAGCTGTACCTTATAGGGGTGTCTAAGGAAACATCGACGAATGCTCTCTCGAAATAGAGTCTCTTCATTTGTCTAAATTCTTCATAAGTCAACTGGGAGACGAATTTCTTCTTTAACTGTTTTAGTAGCTTAAAGATGAAGGTCTTTCCTGTCCCTTCGTAACCGTTAAGGGTGGTAGACAGGATGGTGATCTCTCCCTTGATCTTCTTTCTCAAAATGTCAATAGGGATACAAGCAGCTTCATCTATGATCATCAGTTCGGAGTTCACCATGTCGTCTTCTAGAATGTCAAAATATCGAATCCTCTGTTTTACATTCCTTAGATCTTGAAGTTCTTTAAATATGATTATCTCTTTTAGCTTGCCTAAATGGTAGACCCTTTCGTAGTGAGTGAATTCTTTGTACCCCAGAAGGTTCAGTCCCTGATCAATAAAATCGTAGATGGTGTTCATGCCGTCGTTATTTCCAGAGCAGAGAATCACATTGGTGTAGTTGAAGTGGATACTTAGGGCGATTAGTAACCCCAGCGTGGCCGACTTGCCTCTCCCTCGGTTGGCGAGGAGACTGATGAGGACCTCCTTTAATTGCCTCTTTTTCTCTTCGTCATTGCGGAGCAGTTTGCACATATTGAGAAGCACCTCCAACTGGTCGATGCTGAGGCAGATCCGCAGGAGGTTCATTATGGGTCTTTTCAGGAAGGAGTACGGCTCGGCCTCCGCAGCGATTGCGGGGTTTGCGATTTCGCTGCCGAATTGGCCGTTGATCTTTTTGCCCACTTTTTTTCCCACTTCTTTGCCATCTTCTTCCCCCGCCGCACAGACTCTCGCGGAGTACAAGAAACGGCGGCGCTCCTCCGCCCTCCTCTCGTTTTCCTCGCAAATGTCTTCCAGCTCAGCCAACCTCTTCCGAAGTTCCTCTTTATCCGGGCACAGGTGTCCGCCCAGCGTGGCGGCGCGAGAGGCAGGAACAGTGGCAGTAGCATCCCCTTCACGTGAGTCCGCTACCCCCACCATCTTCTTCACCTGCAGGTGGTTCTCATTCAGAGGTAGTATATTCATCTCGTCATCGATAAACATAGCATTGCGACACTGATTCAGGGAGAGGAAAAACCTCGTGATGTAATTATTGTGGACAGTGGAAATGCCACTCTGTGTATACTTCTTGTGACAGTTTAAGGTCAAGTTGTAGATGTTCTTCACGTCGTCCAGCTTATTTAAGAGAAACAAAATGATCCCTCCCCCGATTACGGTCTCTATACATCTACACAAAATGTTCGGTGTGATGTAGGAGAAGTCTTGCAGTATACACATGGAGTAAGTGTTTCCCAGAACCTTCTTCGTCTCATTGTAGAAGCAGAATCTGATATTAGCACTTTTTAGAAATGTATCGAAATTGTTATCGATGGTTGTGTCGAAGGTTCCTTTTTTTATTTTTTTCTTCATTTCTCTGAATCGTTTCTTCTTGCTTGTGGAGAAATCGAGCTTTTTTTTGTAACACCAAAGGATGTTGTGCGTCCTGCTGACTAGCCGATTCAGAAGGAAGTGGAAATTCACCACTACGTTTTTCCCCTGGTCCCCTATCACCAGGAACATGCTGCGCTGCCCTAGCGCGACGTTGTTCTCCACTAGGGTTTTAATCCTCCCGTCCACCTTTTTCTTCATCGTGGAGGGAGGAGGCAATTGGGGGGGTAAGCTTCTAATCGTGGTTACAACAGCGGCGGAGGTATGCCGCAAACGCAAGTCCGTGAAACCTTGCTAGGAAGTGGGCGGCGACAGGGAGGCAACACGACGGCAACTCTCCCTACCGACTTCCCCACAGGAGGCTCTGACAGTACTTAAGGGAGATTGGCCTACACTGCAGCACGTATGCAGAGGGACTCACCAAACGAAAAAAGCTCCACTGAGAGTCGAGACCACTCATCATCGTCCACTCAGCTTTGGCCGCTCACCGTCGGCCGCTATCGAGGGGTGGGACAAATGCCCAGAGGGGAAACCAATCAAACTGGTCCGAAGAGAAAACCACGGACGCAGTAAAGAAATGATGAACACGTCAAATGGGTAATCTTGTAGAATAGAAAAAGAAATCATGCAGGGGAGGAAAAATATAAGAGTCACAAAGAGCGGAAAATAAAATGACATCTCATCGGTAGAGTTCCAACTTAAAAAAAAAAAAAAGAAAAAAATACAAAGTGTTGGTCAGGCGGTCAAGCCGGTCAAATTTGTTCCGCCCCAGTCGGCGCAACATGCTCGCATGTAGGTATATACTATTGCTGTTGCTATGATTATTTTTTTTTTTCTTTTTTTCCCAAATGAGTGGTGCCCAACAGAAGCTGAAGTCCCCCCCAAACGACTCCTATTCGCAGAGCAACTTATCATCATTTGACGAGAAGGCGATTTTTCTGAAGTGCCAACTTTGGCTAATTTCCCGCGCGCGCTGAGGGGGTGCGCCTTGGGCATGCGGCGCAAATTGGGCTTCGTGGTGCCCTCCTTGAAGAGAAGAAAATGGGGCAGCTATGGAATGGTCCACTTGGGCAGCCATATATGATGATCCCCTTCGGCGGCCACATATAATGATCCACTTGGGAAGCCACATATAAGATCCACTCCGCTTCTTTGCCACTCCTCTCACCGCTAAAACGGAAAGGAGAACCCCGACGGGGGGAAGGTCCGGTCGAAGAGGTGCACCAGCACTTTGTGGGTGCGGAACAGGAAGGGGATGTTAACGTCTTTTCGAGGCCAGCAGTGGTACAGGAAGTACACGTCCTCGTTGAGAACGATGAGGTTGTTCAGGTGGACCACTCCGCGTCGGTCGGCGTGACTGAATTGGGGCGCGCCTCCCTCTCTTTGATCTGTGCAGTTCTTCTCATACGGCTTTTTTGGCTCGTCCTCTGTTCTTAATTTGTGCCTCTCCCTCTGTGCAGCCACGATGCACTCGAGGAGCTCCAAACTGCTGCAGTAGTCCTGTTGTGTGTCTCTCTCAAGAGCCCCACACAACCAGAGTATTTTATCTGCCCCCCGCAATCCGCTAATAATGCTGTTTAACGTGCGGCGTCCGACATCTTGGGAGCAGACCTGGACTCGTTGGGGGGATGAAGCGGTCCGTTCTGTTGGAGGGGGATCCACACGAATGGCAACTACGTCATCGTCTTGTTTTTCCTCGTGTTTGTTGTCTTCTTCTCCTTCCCCTTTTTCTTTTTCCCCCTCGCGTGGTTTCTCCACCCAGTTGGAACTTCCCTGGGGTAAATCCCCCCCCTTGAGCGCCTCACTGGTGAAGCTGCCAAGATTTGCCAGTCGGTGTCCATATTTCCGAAGGAACTTCCTCCTAGTGGCCCGTATCATCTGATTGTAATTTCTGTGTGGGAAGTGGCAGTACACGGAGAGGAGGGGACTTGTGTCGGTGCTGCTCCGGAGGATGGGCTCACTCGGGTGTAGGAAGATGTCCTCGGGGAAGTGTAACTTGATTTGGTTCTTATCACATAGCTGGAGGATGTTAAATAGATTCACTTTGAGCAGGAGGAGAAGGGGTTCTGGGAAGTCCTCCACGTCGAGAAAGTCCAGTTGGACAAAGCTGCAGGAGCGGTTTTCCTCCCCGGCTGCCACGGCAGCGGAGCGACACCCCCCGGTAGGATTGTCTGCATCTATGCGGAGGTAGGCCTGGTTGATACGCCTCCCCCGCTGTTTTTCCCCCCCTTCACACCACCTCGCAGACAACGAACCCGAGTCGAACATGAAGAAGAGGAACAGAAAAAACAGCTGCCCACACACGTACAAATCAGACACCTTCATACAGATGGCCATGTTTAGCAGCTTCAGCCACTCCACTATGTCGTCCAAGTTGGAATAATCCAACACGTCGTTTTTTGTGTTCGGTGATATGATCCATAGGTACTTAGGAGGTGTCGCGCGCGGGTGTAGGCGATTCTTTTCCCCAATAACTGGGTTTTCCTCTTGCATGGTAGTTGAGTGCTTCTCCCCCTCCTCGAATGGCCCCACGTCATAGTCGCACGGGAGCGGGATCTTCCCAAACAGGTGATCCTTGCCGGAGATATCACTCTCTGCGTCCAGGTAGTGCACTACTCTTCGCATTGCCTCGAAGAGGCGATCTCGGTTCCTCAATACAAAATAATCATACAGGAAGTAACCCCCATGTTTTCCTTCTCTGTGAAGTTTATCCACCTGGTCCACAGATATGAAATTGAACAGGAAGGGAAACAGGTTGACCATTTTGGTGGCCACCATCCCCACGTGCACTTTGACACCCTGCGGCACCTGCATGCACTTTTTCCCGTCTGCTTCGGGGGGCTCATCTATAATGTACGTCGTGGCGCCGAAAACTTCGAACAGTTTCTGAAGGTGGTAGCTCGTGCATGTGTGCTGCTTCCCTTCCGTTGGCTCGTCAGTATGATCATCATTTTGGCTCATTGCTGCTTCCGCGGCGGGTTTTCCTCTATTGGGTATACTCCCCTGACGTAGCGTGTATTTTCCCCCCTTGTCATTTCTTCTTTTCTGCTTCTTCGCTGTGAACTCCACTGAGTTTTTCATCTTTCCCGTGGCAGTCTTTTTCCTTATCAGGGTGGGGGGCTCATCAGTGGGAGGGGCATCACTAGTCAGTACATCAGTAGTGGGTGCATCCGTCGTGGCATCCCTTGTGGTGGGAAAAGCGGCGGACGGATCACCCCCTTGACCCACTTGCGCAATTGCCAGCCGACTCTGCACCCTCCCCACTAACCACCCGTAGTGCCACTCATAAACCCCCCGCGCAAACACCTCCCTGTCCGCGACAAAGACGATATTCCCCTTTTTATCTCCTCCGCCCTGGGGTGGTTCATTCCCCCCACTTTCGCCAAAAAAGAAATTCGTATAATCTTCATCGGCTTGGAAGTTCTTGAAGAAGTCTTCCTCCGGGGGGGTTTCTCCAGCGTCTTCTTCAACTTTGCAGGTAGCACTGCCAGGAGCATCGTGAATAGACACACCCACCACATCATTAGGAGCATCGTCAGTAGGCATGCCGCGCATTCCGTTAGTGGCATCCCCCTTGACAGTGCCCCCCTGAGCCAGAACCGCTTCGCATACCTGGGAGACGTCCTCCTCCCGCCGCACAAAATGCAAAGCGTAGTGTGTCTTCCCCTGCGCAGAGAGAAACGCCCTTACGTAGGAGAAGACGAAGGAGTGGAACACGCCGCTGAGGAAGTCTCCCCCACTATCGTCATCTCCGTCTCCCTCTCCCTCCACCTCTGCCTTGCCCTCTTGGTGTGCTTCGCCCCCCAAGGGAATACTCCCCCCTATGCTGTCATCCACAAAGAGAATGACATTTCTAACACCCCGACGTATGCACAGAAATGCAGAGGAGAGGAAATAAAAAAATGCCTCCTTCATATGGTTCACCTGATGATTGGGCTGGTTCGATTTGTACAGGTTGTGAACAAAGCCGACTATGTAACGCAGCAAAGGTGCATTCGTTTGAACGAAGACAGTTTCTTCTTCCTCTGGTGGGAGATCATCCGATGGCTTCCCCCTCAGCATGGTCATCAGGACGAACTGAATGATGTCGAAATAGCGATGCAGGTAGAAGGAGGGAGACTTGGTCAGTACAACCTGCTCCAAAGCCATATGTAAGAGAGTAGCGAAGTACCTTTTTCTCGAAGCATAGGGAAGGCTGCCCAAAAGGTGATTAAGGAAGGTGTCCTTCGCGAATGCTATATGTTGTTCATCTATATTGGGAAGTGACTCCCCTCTCTTGACTCCTCTTGAGGATTCTTTCCCCCGTTTAGATATATGACTGGAGTAGGGTTCCTTCTCATGTGGGGGAGTGGAAGCTTTGTTCTGTGCACACATGGGGGTCCTCTTCTGCTCATGATCTTCCCCGTGCACATTCACGTAGGACTTTACCAGAACTATTATGTACTGCTTAACTGCTTCGCGAAATGATTCACTTAAGTTCCTTCTCATGGAATGATCAGTGCTGGATCCTCTACTGATGGAGGCACCCCCAGATAGAGGACTCCTTGTGGAATGTCCATCCGCTTTCTCTCCTCCGTTGGGTGAATTCCCTTCTGAGGTGAATTCTATTGAGGGGGGTGCAACTTTCACATGAGTATCTTTCAAAGAGGGCACCATCTCAAGTGTAAGCTCTCTGTCCTGGTTGGCAAAATGGCTAGCTGATGAGAAGACTCTCCCCTTGGTGTAGGAAAAGAAGTTGTTCAGGCGATTCTTTAGGGGTCCCCCTTCACCCTGTCTGCTGTTCGCATAGGCAAGGTTTCCATAAAAGGAGCAATCTCCGGATGAGGCATCCCCCTCGAGGAAAGAATCCACCTGCACCGAAACGTGTCTCTGGAAAACCTCTTGACCACACAAGTACCTAATGGTAAGAGCCCCAAAGGTATTGACCAAATAGTGGAAGAAAAAAGTCAAGCTTATTGACTTCTTCTCCCCCGGCTTCAGGTAACCCACATTGGGAGAAATCACCAGAGTGTAGTTCTTCTGCTCATCGAAGAAGAGATAATCCTTCTGTCTTAAAACTTCATTTTGCAGAGAAAGTTTTTTCTTATACGAAATGGTGAAGAGGACTATGCTGGACGATGTGTTGTGCAGGTCAATCGAGTTACGGATGACCTTCCCTCCTTGGTTTTGTATCCGTATGACCTGTCTGCTCGTTTGCACGGGTTGCTCATTCGCTGGGGGGTCCACCTTAGGGTCATTGATGGGGTGGTACGGAAGGGTAGTCTCCTCTATGTTGCGTACAGTGGGGAGTGCCTCCTCATCTGCAGGTTCTACCGCTTCGATATCGACGCGCCTCCCCTGCACGAGGAATCCACTGTCGTCCAACGGAATGGCGAAATTTTTCAGAACGAATTCGAGGTTGCTCCTAAGTTTGTTGATTATCTGCCCCTGGTAGAGTTCCTTCTTCGCGTCTCTGTTCGTAACGTATGGATCGTTTTGTTTCTCGGCTGTGGAGTTCTCTCGTTGGCTGGCTGTCCCCGTGGGGGCTTCATTTTGAATTGCCCCGTCTTGGAACACCCTCTCGAATATGTCCTTATTCCCTTTGCAGAAGCCCCCCTCAAGATTCACCTTCTTCACTGCATCTTTAAATTTGATGTTTTCGCCTTCGGCCCGCAGGTTCTCCGTCCAGTTCACTTTTTTTTTCTCCTCTTTATTGAGGTGCTCAATGAGTGTATTCAGCTGAGAAGGGGTGAAAGGACAAAAGTGACACAGATAGATGTGCGGCTTCTTTTGAGGGGGTATCACCCTGGAGGATCACTTCTATGCATCGATAGGGTCACTTGTCCGCATGGATGTACCCCTTTGCCCACATCCTTGTGAGCGGCGTCACCCCTCTCCTGCGCGTTACTTCGTTCCGCTCCCGGTATTTCTCCCCCTGATCGGCCAGGGTTTCCCGCTTCTTCGTCCGTTCCTTTATCTTCTGTCTTTGTCTGTTCCATTTGTTCTTCACGTCCTCAAACTTTCGCAGCACCTGCCATTCGAAGGGGAGGCACACAAGGGACCGGTGCACACTCGATGCGTGTGATCATTCGGGTGCTTGACGGGTTTAGTAGCGGTCTGAAGGGGGTTTCTTGGTCGCCACTTTCCCATTTCGTCGTTCTCTTTGCCTAATGTGTGCCTTCATGTTTCGCTTAATAATTGGCCTACTAATTGGCCTACTAATTAACCTCATTTTTTGCCTAATTTCTCTGCTGCCTTTCCCTCCTTTTAATTACCCGCTCTTCCCGCGTAGCCTTCATCTCCTCCGCGGCCACGATTTTTTTCGTTCGTCTTTTTTTCTCCTCCATAGTAGGGAGAGGTCCACGCGAGGGGGGCTTTGAAGGTGGATCCACAAAAAAAAAAAAGGTCTCACGGTGGTCAGTCAACGTGTCCTCACGACTCCTTCCTCCATGTCGTGTTTCATTTCAGCAGTGCCGCTGTGCATGTCCGATGTGACGCTTCTCTTTTTCTCCTTCTTCTGACGCTCACTCTTAAGGAAGAGCTTTTGTGCCTGTGCAGGGACATACTCCCGTTTTTCTTTCCCCCCCTGTGCACATGGCGCGGGGCTGCAATTTTACGGACGCGGCATTAGTGATTTCTGACTCCAGTTAAGGCCTCCTCCCCGCGGGTGCATGAAGATGGCACGAATTGGGGAGACACCTCCGTTCGGTTAAGTAGTTGATCGGGGTGTTCCCTAGCGAGGGGCTGTTCCCTGTCTGTTTTATTTTTTGCCTTTTTTTTCCCCCCTTTCTGTGGCGTCTTATTTTTTCCCTATTCTCCTTGCCTTCCCTAGCCCCTCACGTGTCCGCAAGGAACTTCCGGTACAGGTCGTCATTCGGGTAGGCGTCCAGGGAGGAGTTACTGCGAACGATGTAGGGGGGCGGGATGCCGGGAGTATAGTCGAAGAAGGCGGGGAAGTTGCCACTGTCGAAATGTTCATGAGGGTAAAGGAAGAGACTTTCCAGATCGTAAACGTCTCGCAATTCCTTTGTGACGACATGCACTTTGAGGGGACCACAGTGGGCAATGATCCAGTCATCGAATTTGTTGCAGTAGCAGTAGGCCACCTTCGAAATGTAGGGTATCTCTAAATCTACAAAAATTCGGCTGATTAACTTTCCCACTCGTTTATTATGTTTTGGTGTTTCTCCTGTGCAGAGAATTAGGAACATCCCGATGTCTCTCCGTCCACATTTGTCCAAATCGATTACTTTAATGTTTTTCACTTTTTCATGTTTTAGGATGAAGACGACTTGCTCGATGGTAGGCATGACTCCCTTCTCCAATTCGACGCTGTCGTCCGCCTCGCTCCTTCCATTCTCACCGTTTGCTTCCCCTTCACCCTCTTCGTAGTCGAAAAGGTAGTCCCCCCTCTGCCTGACGATCGGGTCCGTCACCTGGGTGTGGTAATAGTCCTCTTCAGCTTCCTCCCCCTGGATTGGCTGTCCCTGAAGGTGGGCGATACTCTCCCCATCCAGTTTCATTCTCCGTTCGTTGTACTGCCTCATGCTCTCTGCGATCAACTTCTCCTTGTTCTCTTCGTAAAATCTCTGTGCAGGGGTTAACCCCTCGTAGGGTCTCTCCCTGGTGCGTTGCTCCCGTTTTGGTTTCTCCTGGAAGGGTGGTCTATAGGCTTCCTCTGCGTCGTCACGCCTTTTGCAAGTGCCTCCTTGGCTGGTTCGCCTTGCTTCATCGCTCACTTGGTCGTCTCGCACTCGTTGTTCTACTTCTGTCTCTCCTCCTGCTTCTTCCTCCCTCCCCATTTGGAGTCCCCTCTTGCCATTCGACCTCTGGTGATGTCCTTCCTTCCCTGTCCACTCATCCCTTCTGAGCTGCTTAACTGTGTAATAGTCAATCGTCTCCTGGATGAAGCTTCTCACGTCGACATTCTTAAAGTACCTCATGTTTTTGTAGAATTCATCCTCTCTGTGTAGATGCTCTTCCTCTGCTTGTTCATTCTTCTTTACCTCCCCCCAGGGGATGTCACCATTCTGAAGGATTCTCTCGTCAATGTTAATTATTTCCACTCGGTCGTCATCGCTGTCTTGATTGCACATCTGTTCACTTGTTTTCCCGTCCAGGGGTCCCCCTCTTTCTTTGAGCTTGTCGAAAATTCTGTTGTGGTCCCCGATGTACCTCCTGGGGAAGGAGAGCGGCGCACAGATTCGGAATCTTCTCACGAACATGCTCAGTGGAGGCGAGGCACAAGAGAAGAAAAAAGAGAAGAATACCTTTATGTGGGCAGAGCGAATCGGTGAAAGTGCCGTTTGTTTGTTTTCCGCGCCATGATTTATACAGCCATTTTTTTTTTTTTTTTCCTGTTCAGGTGAAAAAATGGTTGCCACACCCTCACGTGGTTATAATTTTGCAAAAATTGCCTGACTCGTTTGGAAGAAAAAACTTCTTTTTTTTTTCTTTCCTCTTCGCGCCTCTATGGGGGAATCACCCTGCACAGTCGTCCGTTGAGCCGCCAATCTTCCGATCTGTTCATTTACTGACTAGAGGCCCCCCTTGGCACTCTCAACACAGCTGCATCCTCCCCGGTTTTACAAAATGGGAGCAACTTGACTTCTCCTCTCCAGCAGCGGGGTATCCAGCCAAACGGGCCGCAAACATGTCGTTTATTTATAGGAGGGCGGCGCAAATGCTGTCGAGGTGCGCGCAGGGAGGGGGCATCAAAGAGGTTCTGCATGAGAAGGAGGACCCGTCCATTAGGAAGGTGAGCAAACCGGGGAAGCGGTAAAGCGGTAGAGCAGTGGAGCGGTGAAGCTGTAAAGCGGTGAAGCAATAAAGCGATGACTTCCCCTCCCTTGCATATAACCGCGCCACGTCAGGTCACCCCATTTCCCCACCGCACCGCAGCTCTACTTCATCCTGCACAAGGCGCTGGAAGACCTGGACATCCTGAACCATGTGTACGCCGAGCACCTGTCCAAGTGTTGCAAGAACAAGTTTCTGGGAATCGTCCTCCTGTGCGTGCTCGTGCAGAGGAGCAAAATCGACGGGGGTGGGAAGTTAAAAAAGGAAATACTGAAGAGGCAGAAGGAGATTCTCCACCTTTACAACTGCTTGAAGGAGAAAAAGGAAAGCAACAGACAGACTGAGAAGAAGAAACAGCTAGCCAAATATTTTATCATATATGACCAGGGAGGAAGTAGCGACGCCTTGAACAAACTGAAGGAACTCCTTCCAGTGGAGGAGGACGAGGATGTAGAAGGTCTCTACAAAATTGAAAGTGACAAGTTAAGCACTCTCATTGCTACCCCCACGTATCAGCAACACAATGTGAGAATAATAGACAAGACGTCCTGTCTAGTAGTGCAGGCGGGAAACATCAAAGAGGGGATGGTCATCGTGGATGTGTGCTCAGCGCCGGGAAGCAAAGCCATATTCACCCTCACGCTGCTAAACGGGAAAGGTTACCTTGTGTGCATCGAGAAGGATAAAAAAAGGTGCCTGACCCTACTACAGGAGATAATGAACCAGAATCGGGAGTATGACGGAATCTACCTGGATGAAGATTTCTCGGAGGAAAATAAATTAGCCCTAACGGAAAGGAACTTTTTTGCAAAGCATGGAGGTACGAATGTTTACTACATAAGACACCGACGTAGTGAGATCGTCATCAAAATTTTTAATGTGGATTTTTTCCAGTTGACTGCAGATGACTTTGCGTCGCTTGGGAAAGTGGACGTCGTGTTCGTTGACCCCTCCTGTTCGTCCAGCGGCATGCCCGACTTCGCGCACAAGGAGTGCATGCAACGAGTGTTCCTCCCTGGGGGGGAAGACTCCAAAGTTAGGCAGCACAGTGAAGAAGGTGGCAAAGATAGGCAGAACAGTGAAGAGGGGGCCAAAGATAGGCTACCCTCTGAAGTGGAAGACCTCCCTCCAGAGGAGCCACCCCCGACGCGCGACTTCTACGATGACGTGGCGGAGGGAAGAATCCCAAAGGTCCCCCCTCCCTTTCAAGACAAAGTCAACCGGCTCGCCGAATTTCAAAAAAAAATTTTAAACCACGCACTAGCCACGGTGAAGACAGCCGAGACGTTTGTGTATTCCACGTGTTCCTTTTTTGAAGAAGAAAATGAGCAAGTTGTCGAATCTGTGCTGCAGTCCAATCTGGGGGTCTGTCTAGAGAAGGCAGGCAAGGAGAAGTTCCTCTTTAATCGCGGCAGGTCCGTTGTCTCCAGTCAGTACGTGCGCACCTTCCCAGAGCTGCATGCCTGCAGGGGGATTTTCGTCTCTAAGTTGCGTCGAGCATAGTTTGTCGGAAGCGTCCCCTCCTGTTCACAGCGGGGATTAGCGATTGGATTAGTGATTGGATTAGCGATTTACTCTTATTATGTTACTCTCTGAATTGTTCCTCGTGACAGTGGGAGGCAGCCCCGTTGATTGTATCGTCAAGCCGGATAGTCCGCCGCTAGCCCAGTTAGTGCGCCGCTACACGGCTACACCGCTTTGTGAACCGCTTCACACACCGCTCCTCTCCCCGCGCATCTTCTCAACGCGTGCGCTATACTTGGCGATGTCCTCGGACCTCGGCTGGTAAACCTCGCTGGACGCGTTCCAAAGAGTCAATTCGCCATCTGAGTCGGCGGCAAGCAGCTTCTTCCCGTCACACGACCAGGCGATCTTATTTGTCGATTTCGCCTGAACAGTCATATCGAAATAGGAGCAATCCAGCTCCAAACACATATTCCAAACCTTTATGTTTCCATTACTACTGCAGGTGGCGAAAATCGCTGGATGTACGGGGTTCCACTTCGCATCCATAAGGTAGTCATCAAAGCAGTCAAAGGTGTAGAGTGCGTTCTGAGGTTCCTTGACACTTAGGAGCTTGCAAGACCAGTCAACAGAGCAGGTTAGTATGAGATCGTTATGATCATCAGGGACACCATCAATGAGAGGATGGAACTGGGCAGCTGTTAAGGGGCCATGGTGGATGTTATAAAACTCAGTGATGCCTACTTTGGTGCCATGTATCTGTGCTTGAAATAGGGTTCCATCATCGGCTCCTCCGTAGAGAGTATTTATTTCTCCCTCCTGGAAAGAGAAGCAACAGCAGGAGACTTCCTTGTTTGTTCTCTTCAAATCAATCGTGTCAGATGGGTAAGTCAACATATTTAATGACCAGTTGCATAGCCTCCCATCCGTGTCTGCCGTCACCAAGTTGTGTGCATTCATCGTTCCTATCACTTCTGCACAATATATGGGATGGAGATGCCCTTGCGCGGTAAGACACGTTTTCTGTACTGGTTTTTGGCTAGCTCGTATGTCCCACAAGACGACGTTCCCTGTGTAAGTCCCTCCTATGATTAGGTGCGGATTGAATTTGTTAAAGACGGAGGTGCATACAGCTGCCTCGGAGGTGAATACGTATTCGGGGCGACTATTCATTGTGCTGTTCCAAACTAAGACGTAACCGTCGGGGTCTGTGTAGTTGCTTGTTGTCGACAGGCCGTAGGAAGCTAGGAACAGCTCATTGTAAAAGTTGGATGTCCTCACGTCTGTTATGGGCCTTCCGTTTGTGTACTTTTTACACGAATAGATATTGACAAACTTCATCCTTTCGGCACTCTCCGCGTCCCCTGTTATGTCCTTCGCTGCAAAGTCGAAGGTGGCGTTGAGGACGTCTTGCTCTCCCAAGGATCGCTCCACGATTTTAGAGCTGCGTTCCAAGAAGGTCAGAAAGCATCTGCTGCGGAGGAGGAGGTCAACTTGGTTGGGGTCTTTCCCCCGTGGGGGGGCGGCCTGTGCTACTACTTCGCCATCGGGGGAGGTCCCACCAAGTGTTACACCCTTCTTCAAAATAGCGTCCCTCTTCAAAACGGCGTCTTTCAAAGTGGCGTCCTTCTTGCCCAACTTGGTCGTACAAAATTTCCCCGATTTTGACTCCCCCCCATTGGGCTGCCCATTCGAAAGGACGGAGGCGAACCTCTCACCCCGCCTATTCCCATTTCGCGAGTGGTGAAGCGACGAAGTCCCCTCATCTGTGAGGATGTTCACCTGAATGGATTTGTCAAAATGGCTCACAATCTTCTTCTCTATCTGTATGGCCTTCTCCTCACTGGGCACTTTTCCAATTTTGAAGTTGAAATTTTTTGCTGAGGATTTTTTCAAGAAGAGGAAATTGTTCTGTTCAGCGTATTCCTCGAGCGGGTTGGCGTTGGAATAGAAGTTTTCCTTCGCGATGTTGTTACTGATTAGGTGGTGGCTCTGGTTGTTCTCCGTTTGGGACGTCTCTTCGTTGCCTGTGTCCACCTGCTGCTGCAATGCGTCCATGCTTCGTTCCTCCTTCTCCATCGATTCGAGGAAGCTTTTCAACATGCTGTCAGGGTCGGGATAGTCACCACCCTGGCTGCGCCATCCCTTTCCAGCGGTAAGAAACCCATTTCCGCTTTCGCTGCGTAACTGGTCCAGGTACTTCTTCTTTTCTTCCAATTGGAGCCTCTGCTCGTTCAGTTTGTTTTGCAGGTGTTCCCTCTCCTCCTCGTCCATGGGAGTGAGGAGGTCTGTCTGGTCCGTGCTCTGCATGTTTGGTCGCTGTGTCGTCGTTGGCAGTGAGTTCCGCGTTGCTGCGATGCTGGGTCTCTTCGTCACTTTGTCGGGGTTTCACTGCTAGGGCGCCTCTCACATTGATGACTTATTCGGGGTCGCTACTTCGTGTGGGTGCGGCGAATTGTGCTTTTGGGAGGGCACTCCTCTGTATGTACACACACGAGGAAAAAAAAAAAAAAAGAAGCGAACAAGTACTCAGTGTGTGCAAGTGTGGGCACAAGTACAGGCAAGCGAATATTCCCGCAGAGACATCCCCGCGAGCAACTGCCGTAAGGCCCTACAAAATGCGCAGAGGGGCATGTCTACGAGGCCCTTTGGAATGGAACAACTTTTTTCTCTGTGTCCACTTCTCTACAACAGCTGAGAAGAACAAAGTGGGGAAAAAAAAAAATTCCACACATTCTACCTTGCATGGCCAGGTAAATTCTGTATGCAACGAAGGTTAGGACAAAAGAAAAAAAAATTCCCATTTATGTTCAAAATTGCGGTACGATAAGCGAGGGCAAACCGTGTAGTTAGACCAGTTTTATGTGTAGGCATACGTGTAGGGGCAGAGTGGACATCCCTAATCTTGTTCTACTTTTCGTGCGTCTCTTCTTTTATATTTTTTTTTAACTGGAAAGGGCAATCCGTCCCAAGCGCACTCTGCGTGAGTGGCCCTTTTCCAAGCTGGTCGGCAACCGACGTAAGCTTTCCCGTGTGCAAAAAAAAAAAAAAAAAGCATATGGTAACAAATTAACGGACGATTGAAAAGGACAAGGGAAAAAAAAGGACACACGACAGAAGGGGTACCAACTAGTGACACACTTTACAACTCTTGTTGGAGCAAAAAAAAACCTATGTGTCGATCACAGTCGGAACAACCTATGTAGACATCTGAGCAGTCACGAATTAAGGATGGTACAAGCGCGACTAAGCATTATGTGTAGTTTAGAAAAAAGAAAGAAAATTCCTCTGTTTTTCAATCAGCTGGGTTCTCCCTAACGTTGTAAAGAAGAAAATGTGAAGAGCTGCTCTCTTACACCACAAATAGCGTATGTGAAAATGCTTTCCACTCTGATGGGGAAATTAATGGGGTGCGGATGGTGCCTGGCCACGTTGAGCAGAGGAGTGTTCCCGCTGTCAACACTTCCACGGTTATACACACCTGACTAAGCGGAGAGTGACTGCGAATGATTATTTTTCTGGGACAACATGTAAAGTCATCGTTTTGAACCCCGTCACGATCTGTCCCTCATCCACACACGTAAATTCACCTCTTCAATGATGACTAGCCAAAAATAAAAGTTCTATTTTCTTACCTGAGTTGCTCTGAATTATTCTGCAACGGGGGGGTATCGCAGCGAAAAAAAGGAAAAAAGAAAAAAAAGAGAGAGAAAGAAACTGACTTGCTCAGGCGTATTGCCTATGTGTGAAGTTTCGTCAAAATAGTGAAAGTGTGGATGGACAAATCAGATGTGTCTCTTCTCTTTGGTGTGCGTTTTTTCCATCCCCATTCCTTTCCCCCTCCCCGAATGGGCACATCTTTTGCTATTTTGCAGTTTACACGAACATTTCGCTGTAAACATAGTGTGGAGGACGAGGGGGATAGTAAAACCTTGCCGCACCTTTCCAATCGCAGGATTGGCATCTTGGCATTTTCACATTAAGGATACACACACAACAAGTGTGACACTTGCAATGGCACGTCTGCTGACTTCTTACGAACATTTCTTCACCCCGTTTGGTCGCCAAGTTGGTCGATACCCCTCCTGCGGGGGAAGCTCACGTGTACATACACCTCTCGTTGGTGAGAGGAGCAACCTGGCGGGAGGAGCAGCATGGCCGGAGGAGCAATATAGGCGGAAAAGCAGCATGACAGGAAAAGGAACATGGCGAGGAAGATTAGGGACCCCTCTCTCATGGACCAATTCTTGCAGCGTGCCCAAACCTTTCGCTAATTTCTGTGGGTTGTCCTTTCGCCCTTCTGCAATTGTTAATGTGTTCACCGAGGGTGAAGTTTGTCTCAAATTTTTTTTTTTTGTCTTCTATTCATCCAGAGTAAAACCTTAAAGTGTTTTTTTTTTCTTTTTGTCACAATTGTTAATATGTTTGTGCCCCCCACTTGTGTATGTTCCTTGTTAGTAGTTTTTCTCCTAACTTGTGTGCGCAGTTTTGCAGAAGAAACCGTTAGTGACAATGTTAACTGGAGAGTGTTCACCCAATGTCAGAAACTGGGAGAGGAGATGCGACGCCGACAGGTCTGGCGAGTCCTGCCACAGGAGCAGCACGGTGAAGAAGGAGTTCAACAACAGGATGGACGCCTTCATAGAGTTCACGGATAGCTCTCGTAATAGGAGTAAGCAATGGGGGTGGGGAGAAAAAAAGAAAAAAAAAGAAAAGAAAAGTGTATACTGGGATAAGCGTCTTGCCTAATGTGTGGAGATAGCATTGTGGGATGCTTACACCCATCCCATCTGGAAGGACAACCCATGAGCAAAGCACCTTTCTTCCTGCCCCCCCATCTGCGAGGCAGTCTCTCTGATGGAATCCCAAAACAAGACAAAGAAGAGAGAGCTAGAAGACGAGTACCTGTTTTTAAAAAAAATAGGAGATGTGTGCAAACTCAGTTCCGATTATTACTTGGAGACAAATGTGAATTTTCACGAGGCCTGCGAGAATTTCAGCATTCTGTTCAGAGCCTTTGAGGAGTCGTTTGTTAACGTAAATAACAAGGGAGATGAAGCAGACGTGGTTGCAGAGAAACTCAGCAAGGTAGAAGACAAGGTGAATCTTCAGATGAGAGAGATTGAAGAGGCGTACGAAACATCGAAGAAGGAGCTAGTCCTCCTCCAAACAGATGTCCATTATATGAGGAACGAATCTGCTAACATTGTGAACAAAATAAAAGAAGTCGACTATCAGATTAACCAACACAAGGAGGCGTTTGAGTCGTTTCACATTTTGACCCACCTTAACACGGAGCGCATTTCGGTGCTACAGAATGATTGCATGAAGATGGAGGAGCAGCGGGAGGAGGTGTTGAGGGGTATAGAGGGAGCCGCCGCTGCCGCGGTCGCCGCGCGGGATGGTCTTATTATGGACAGGGGACACCTGGTAGGGCTATGCATCTGGAAGGGGCAAAACAGTCGTGACTACCCAGCGCGAGAGTCAAATCGTTGGGTCGTTGATCAATAACGCTGGTTGGGACTAATGGGGTTCTACTCTTCCCCCTTACCGCTAACACGGTTGACGCTGTTAACACTGTTGACACCGATAACTCCTCTAACGCCGCCAACCCCCTTATCGCAGGAGGAGGAGAGGGAAGCCTTGCTCAGGAAGGAACGCGAACTGAGCCACAAGAAGGATAAGCTGTCCATACGGAGGAGCGAAGCCAAGTCGGACAATGATCGCCTCAAGTCTCAGATGCAGTTCATGCAAAACCAGCTGTCATCACAGGAGTACTTCCTGAGTGTCATTAAGTGTGGTCTGGACGGAAGCATCCGGACGAGGAAAGAACTGAGTTCCGTTTTAGGAGGAATCAACAAGGAGATAGAGGACGTGGAAAATCTGAAGCAAGCTGCAACAATGGAAGAGGTGGAGGAGAGGAAGAAGTGTCAGGAGATGGAAGACAAAGTTAAGCATCAAGACAAGGAGCTGGAGGGACGCGAAATGAAGTTAGAGGTACTTTCCCAGGAGGAGAAGACGATGCGAGGGAAGGTCGAACGGGAACGAAGCAACGCCAGCCAGAATTTGCTGAACCAATTGGTTAAGGAGAAGAAGTTGATAGATGGTGAGATTGGCAGCTACCAGGAGGAGGCACGCAAGTTGGTTCTACGCGAGGGGGGAAAGCTGCAGGGGTTGTTAGGTGGCCACGTAAATGATCTTCTAGGTGGTGTCCTAGGTAGCCCCCTAGATGGAATACTCTCTAGTGTGCCGCTCCTAGCCGGCAAGGTGAACACGGGCGAGCCAGAAATATCCACTCAGGGCGAGAACCCCCTTGACGCACACTCCCCCGCGAGCGAAGCATTCCTAAGGGGGCTGCAGGAAGCCATAGACCGTGTCAAGGAAAAAATCAACGAAGAGCAAAACGAGGTTTGGAGAAAGGAAAGAGAAGTGAAAAGAATAAATGGACTCACTAGTGACCTGCGCCGAAAAGTGCAGGTTCAAGAAGATAAAGGGACCAAATTGGACACCTTGCTGAAGGAGAAGAAGGAGCAGTTCAGGCAGCTTAAGGAAAAGGAAAGTGAAGTGGAGAAGGAACTCTCTCTTATGCACGATAGGACCAAAAAAGAGAAACTCAATTATGAGGAAAAACAGGAGGAAGCGACGAGAATGGAAGAGACACTTATACAGAATAAAGAAATTGAGAAAGAGCAACTGTGTCTACTGGAGAAGGACTACCATGATAGGAAGGACAAGCTGATGGCCTCCTCTGGGGATGGACTCATGATGGTAAGTTCTGTGGATAAGAAAAAACTGAAGGACGATGTGGATGCATATTTAGCAAACACAAAAGTGGAGTTCGATTTGAAAAAGAGAGAGTTCGAAAAAGCTGAGAGGGAGAAGTACGAACAGATGGGGAGTCAGTTGGATGGGGAGCTTAAGAGGAAGGACGACTTGATTGCTTACTATGAGGAATTGATTAGCAGGAAGGAGAAGATGACTGTGGCCCCAGGAAGGAGTGACGCGGCTTCGCACGAGCGGGTGATCGGCATGGGCAACACGAAGCGGGCGGACAGTCGGCCCCACCGATCCGCCCTCTCCACGGAGAGAAGAAAGTCCGCCCAGCCGGGCGGCACCGGGAGCGCCATGGCCAGCCCGGGGAGCGGCGCCGCCAGCACCGTCCACAGGGGTAGCAACGGTGTCAACAGAACTAGCAACGGTGTTAGCAGGAGTAGCAGCGGTGTTCACAGGAGTAGCAACGGTGTTGACAGAAGTATGAGCAGTGTTGACACCAGTGGCATCGGCGCCACCGGTGCGAACGCCCGCAAGCCGCCGAACGCTCAGGACACGTACAAGTTCGGCTACTTCGACGTGACTTCGCCCGGGGAGATGCGGAAGAGCATGAACATCCCGAGTCGGTCCGTGAAATCACCGCACATCGCGAGGCTGTTGGAGAAGATAAAACTGAGGAAGGAGTGCCAGACGCTCGTGGGCACTAAAAAGGTGCCCTTGAACCAGGTGAACAGCAGCGACGGCAGACGGAGCAGGACTATTGCGGGGAGTTCTGCCAACAGGGTCAGCACGGGGAAAAGCGGGAAGGGCGCAGGTCGCACCAAGCCCTTCCTCAACACGAAGGCGCCCAAGAGCAACGACTCCTTCGACCTGTTCCACCATTTGTAAGAGGAGCCAATTCATTGAACGAGTTAAGTATGTGAGGCAGCCTGAGAAGGGGGCCATCTTTCTTATGGCCTGCGCAGCTCCCCCTCCCCGGCTTCGACCATGCGGGTGAGCTACGCATCATCATCCAGGTGAGTCTCGCCCCGCGTGACCGCCGATCTGTTCGAAACTTCGTTTGTCTGGCGTTTTGCCACTGGCACCGTGACACGCGCTCTTCCGCTTCCTCCCTGCTTCCATTTGTGTCCACCTTCGCGGGGCTCCCTTTCGTCATGCGTGTCTGCGCACACAAGGGTCTACATGAGAGGCGGTGAACAGAAAGCGGAATTATTTTCCAGTGCGACCTTTGTGAACTTTTTGGATCCCCCTCTGGAGGGCCTCAACTCTTCTGTTCGTGGAGTTGCGCAAAGAGAAAATGGGACAAGTTAGTCAGGCGAGTCAGTTGTGTCAGGTGGGTCACATAGGTCACGTGGACCACAGGGAGAACCCAGTGCGCTGCAAATGAACTGTGTGCACTTGCACCTTCTGAATGGGGGGCCTACGAGGGGGCTCCTCCGCAGAGGGGTCTTCCTCCAAAAGTGGCGTCCTCTTAAACCAAGGCCTTACGTGCGCGAGTCCACCCTTAGGAGGTGCATTCCTAAAAGGTGTAACCGGAGAGCTTTTCCTCCTTTGCTGGCTCGGCTTGTAGACGTCCCTTCTGTCTGCGAGAGGGCGATCCGGTGCATTGTTCGCATTTGCTACGTCGCCCTACTTCGCCCTTCTTGCGCTCCTTTGTTTTTTATTTTTTTGTGCACACACGCTGCGTGCTGGGGAGGCGCCTTTAGCGATTAAAAAGTGTGTTAACCCCCGCGAGGGAGTTAAGAAGAGAAACAGCCAATTGGGATTGTCTGCTCAAAGGATAACGAATACTTCAGGGTTAATGTTCAATGCTGAAATGTGAAACCTCAAATGTGAAATCTGAAATGTGGATGTTCCCCTCGCGGTCCACACGTCTGCCCTACCACGTGCTGGAGTTTCCCTCACGCCAAACAGAACAGGCGCGCGTGTGTCCACTCTGATTTACTTTCCGCATCGTTGGAGTGTCCACCCGTGAGTTAGCAAAGGGGTAGAAGAAGAAGAAAAACAAGAAAAAAGAAAAAAAAAAGAAAGCATCCAGCTAGCCTAGGACATATCCAAAATGGTAATACAAAAAAGAAAAAATAAATAAATAACCTTGCGGTGGGAACAGACGAACTTGACAGACAGGCAGACAGAAAGAGGGACAAACGAATGATCCATTCGACGGTGAACCTCCCGGAACGCGTACCACCTCTGCGCATCCCTGTATGCGAAGTGGTTGTTGAGTGGGGTTGTCCAGATTGAAAACAGCTACTCAGGAGAGGGAGCCTATCTGTAGACACCCACCTCTTCGCTGATTAAGAAGGCAGAGAGAATGCGCCGGAGTGATAGGGCGACCTATGTTGATGGACCACTTGCTTGCATGGGGTCGAGTATAGAGGGGGATAGTACGTCCATCTCGCCCGTCCACTCTTCACCCGTTCACTTCTCACCCGTCACTCGCTACTTCTTCCTCTTGGTCCCCTTCCTACTGCAGAGCGAGGCGGAAGAAATCCTAAATAGGATCAAGAATCACAAGGGGGTCGTAGGCATCCTGGTAGTGAACAGTGAGGGGTTAATAATAAAAAGTACCTTCGATCAGCAGCAGTCGGATCTACACGCGTCCCTGCTGACGCAGCTTTCGAATAAGGCCCGGGATGTCATTCGGGAATTGGATCCCCAGGTGAGTGCGCTGGGAGTGGCGAAGCGGAGGGCATTAAGCTGGGCCGCTCAGCTCGGCTAGCCATTTGGGGGCACCCTTGCGCAATGGTACATCCTCCTTCTTATGTTCCTTTTGTTTCGTTCAACCATTCCTTTTTTTTCCTTTCCTTCCTTTCATTCCTTCCCCCATCTTGCCCCCTCCTCCCCCCAGAACGACATTAACTTCCTGCGCCTGCGATCGAAGAAGCACGAAATAATGATCGCCCCAGATAAGGATTACACGCTGGTAGTTGTCCAGGACCCCTACGCCGATAGGGAGAAGTAGGCACTGCATGTTGGTGGAGGGGAAGAGAAGCGACCCAGGAGAAGAACAGGGGAAGGGCGAGGATTAACCGCATGAGCCAAGTGGAGGGAAGCAAAAATCGTGCCACTGCGAACAACCCAAGGGGGGAGAAGGACTTGTCCAAAATGGGGGTGACCTTCCCACGAGTTATACTCTACTTGCCCCCACACAGTTTTTTGCCACCCGCGTTTCTGCTTAATCTCCTGTGCCATGCCTTTTTATTTGCATAAAACTGCGAAGTAGTAGTTTTTTTTTTCTTTTTTTATACGTCTCGCGGGATTTAATCACCAATCATTTGACAGTGCGTGCCGAAGAGGGGAAAAGGGTAATGGCACAACGGCGCAGCTACATAGTTGCCGTCTTCACTCGCGTTGCCTTTTTTTTTTCTCAAGAAGAATATAAATTACCCTCTTGTGGGGGAAAAAAAATAAAGGCAAACCGAGTGAACTCCGCAACTATTTAACTTTAAAAAAAAAAAAAAAAATTTGAGAAAACATGTTGGCGGATAGATTACCGGTTAATGATTCCTTTCGTACAACATGCCCGTACCGTGACTCGCAGGATGAGGAGACCACGTGTATTGGATTCTGCTATATATATGCTACCGATCCTACCGTAATAAACTGAGAACATTTCAGGAAGGACATAGCAGAGTGGACGTATCTCCTGTGAGAGAACTCCCCACGTTTGTAAAAAGGAAAAAAAAAATAAAGGAAAATAAACGGAAGGGTAAAATGACGATCGGTAGTGAAACGAACGGAGGGCAGGAAAGCGTCCAGGTGGCAAGCGATGATCACCCCGAGACGAACCCAACGGGGAAAGAGGAGCAAACCTTCAAAAAGCCCAACCAGAGAGACAGAAAGATAATAAAAAAAAAAAAAAAGAAAAAAAAAGTGGGGGAAAAAAAGGGAAGGAACATTTCGGAGAAACCCAAGGGAAACAGTGCCTCTGGGGGCATCGAAAAGGGTGGTGGTTCTGGAAACGCCCCGGAGATGAGCCAAGACGAGGGACAAAAAGAGGGGCAGCAGATCTCATCGGTCGTTTCATTTTTGAAGAGGAATGAAAGGCCTTCTCGGTCTAATGAGGAAGGTACGTAGAGCGATGAAACAGCCCCACAGTAGCAAAAATGAATAATCGGACACACGAGGAAAGCGTTACGCATTTCTTTTCCTTCCACAGTGGCACAAATGTGTCTTTTCCCCTGCGACGCCATTTGTGTAGCGGTGCGCTTATCTCCCTTTTTTTTTTTTTCCCAAATGAACTCTGTAGGTGCTAAGGCCAATGAGAAGCAACCCGCAACCAGGAACAACACCCAAGCGAAGCCCCGACGTGGCGACGAAGCCACGCAGGAAGGTAAATCTACAGGGATGAACAAATGGGGAGAGGACGAAGAGGCTCGTTTCCTATGCTATGCTAACAATGTGGGTTCCTCATGGGTGGATAGAAAAAAAAAAAATCTGACATGTGTGAAAGTTAATTTTTTTTTTTTTCCCCACCTAACAGATAAAGCTAAGCGAACCGTCTTCATTGGCAATCTTCCACTTAAGAACATGCCCAAGGGGAAGCTGCTAAAGCTGTTGGACGTGAAGAAGTCCGCCGTCGAATCGGTACTCCGCATGAGCATGTGTGAATGGAGACGCACATAGATCCTCCCACCGCGTTGGAGAAGACAAACAGCAAGTTATTGTAAAACTTGACGTGACTGTCCATCTGTGCATTTACTACCCCCCCCCTGGCTATCAGGTCCGATTCCGGTGTCAACCCATGGAGGAGGCCTACGCCGGTAGGAAGAAGCTCGGTGTCATTTTGAAGAAGTTCACGGTAAGGAGGGGAAGAGGGACAAGCTGCCCTGGGCTACACAAAGGTGTCCAGTGCAATGCTGTCCTGATTCACTCGATATTAAGCTAGTTCACACGAACACACATTATCGCAGCCACGACATTGCAACCATTTGTCTGCCCCCATGTCAGGACGCCAAGGACAACCAGAACGCCATCATCACGCTGAAGAAGGAGGAGAGCCTGCCTGGCTTGCTGAACAAAAACGTAACGCCTTATACTTCTAAACGGTGGAGATGATCTCCTTGTGTCGCAGATCGGCATGAACGGGGAAAGGGGCGTCGCTTTGGTTTGCACGGGGGAGCTGCGTTCGCTTCCCTGTCATATGCTTCTCTTCCATTTGCTTCCCCCTCATTTGTTTCACTTAACCCCCCCGAAACAGGGAATGGTCCACGAGGGCTATGTGCTACGAATCAACATGCTGGGAGAGAAGGCTAACTTCAACCGGAAGAAATCCGTGTGCATAAAAAACTTAGATCGAAAATTAAACGAGTCAGATTTGTACAATCTGCTGAAGGACGTCGACCAGATAAAAGGTGCTACATGTGTGTCCGTCTGTGTATCCGTCTGTGTATCCGTCTGTTCGTCTCCGTCTGTGTGGATTGGTCCCTAGCAGTGTTTATTTTACACCTTAATCGCGTTACTCTAATCGTGTTACTTGTCCGTGGCCCCCCTTTTCTCCGCAGGCATCCGCATTTTGAGGGATGAACGGACGAGCATCTCCACGGTAAGAGCAGAGACGAGGTCACTTGTGCCTTCCCGAAATGGAACACCACTCATGTGTGTGTATGTTGGTTGAGGCAATTGGTCTCATTGCTTCGCATCGGCTACGCAGAGTCTATTCTGCCTCCGTCAACTCCGCACCAGTCACCTCAGCCTCGGTCACCTCCGCACCCATCCCCTTCGCACCACTCACCTGCGCTCTTCCCACCCCCCTCAGGGAGTCTCCTTCGTCCTCTTCCAAAGAAGAAGCTCCGTTAAGAAGGCTATCGAGATGTTTCACGGCCACTCAGTAAACGTAAGCCAAGAGGAGGGGGCCCTCCACACCACCCCACTGCGATCAGCATTGAAATCAGGATTCAGATCACCATTGTGTCTTGTTGCTCGGATTGTGTGGCCAGCTTTGCCTCCTTCTTCTCTGTTATATGACCATCCCCCTTATAGCAGCACCCCCGTTTCTCCATCCACCCTCGCAGGGCCGTCAAATTATCGTTGAGAAGATCCAACGTGCGGACGACGCGCGGGATGCACCCAAAGGTGAGTGAATCAGCATACTACACAAGGGTGACCCAAAAGAGAGGAGAAAGAAATCCGAATCACTGTGGCGATAAGCCGTGCATGCTACACGATTTGAAGTTAGCGATTTATATCGAGTGTGCTTCCATTCACCATTGCGACTTTACTCGTGACACGTCCGCTACTCTTTTCACCCCCCTCCACGCAGATGTGACCAGACAAAGCAAACAGGTGAAACGAACCATTCGGAAGAGTCGGCGGGAGGAGCAGAAGATAGGCCATGGGAAGAGGCACAAGATGGGGAACCAAACGGCCCACAGAGCCGGACGAAAGAAGAAATACGTGCGACGGAAACGCAGGGGCGGGGCCGCTGTCACTGAGGGGTAGTGTGCCCCCATACCCTCCTCGTTGTTTCACCGCTTGGCTCGTGAAAACGATTGACATAAAATCGCCGTCTTTTTTTATCCCATAAGTCCTGTTCCATAGGTGTTTATCTGTGTCTCTATCTACTTGTTTGTGTGTATGTGCACCCGCGCATGTAAGAGGAACTGTATACTTGTGCCGGTGGCACTGGGACGATAGGAGAATTCACCTTTTTTAAGTGCTGAAGTGCCGCCACGCTGGAAACGCGCACAGGTTCAACCGGCACGGCGACGTAGCAGAGAGACACCCCATCGTCTCATTTGCATCCTTTGCGCTGCCCCCTCCCCATGCCGCTTGGCTGCCACATTGCATTGTCGCGCTTTTTTTTTTTTTTTTTTTTTCGTGAAATGAAAAAGAGTTGACCCCAAGGCGTGCAGGCGTTGACCGCGATCGTTGCTTACACCATGAGAGGGGCTACAACTGTTTTGCTTTTTTTTTTCTTTTTCCACTTGAATTTTTTTAACTTCGTTTTTTCTGACTTGTTTCTTTTTCTCTTGGTATTTCTTCGCTTTATGTTTTACTTTATTCATTTTTTTTTCCACCCTTCAACCATCGCGTGATATGCATGGAGAGAGTGAACTGCGAAAAAATTATGTTGACACAGATTTCGTAATTTGGCAACGTCTGGGCCATGCGGACGAGCGAGAATCTTTCTGATTGTGCAGCACGGGGGTGTGGGGTGGCATCCATGCGGCTGCAAGAAATGATGCCGAAATGATGTGCGCACAGGTGTAGGTATAAAACTAGGAAAAGGAAAGGGGTATGTTCTGTGATCCCTATGTTCTGTTATCGCTATGTTCTGTTATGGCGATTTTATGTTATCGTTATGTTCTGTTATCGTTATCAACCCGTGCGCGGGTTGATTGCACTGGCACGTGTGAGCGGTTTCATTGCGCGGGGGTCAATATATCTCCGCGAATTGGGGATTCCGCTCCCGAGTCATTCGGCCGTTTCGCCACTTCGCCGCTGCGTCATTCCGCTGCTACACCATTCCGCCGCTTCCCCACTTCACCGTTGCACCATTCCGCTTCTTTTTTTTCCCGATTCTAACAAACTTCGCGTCGAGCGAAAAGAAGAAATAAATAAAACTGCATCCAGCTTGAAATCGCACGTATGTGCATCCGCGCAGAACGACATACATCGCCACGCGCACACGTTGGAAAGATTTGCCTCCTGAAGAAGAGTCAGCTTTGAAGGCACGACCAGCTGTATCTGCCGTTCAGGGGGCCTTTCTGGGAAGACATCGCGGTCGAATAGCCGTACGCATCCTAGTGGAAGCAGCCACAACAGAAAAGGCATCATCCAGGACGAAGTGAACCCCCGCCGGGGGAGGTTACACACACAAATTGCGCCCCTGCCAGCATTACGTATGTGTACGTTAAGGACGCAGACGTAAGGGATTGGCGTCCTCTCCGCGCGGAAGTGGCTGCAGGTAGCTCTGAAAACGTGAAGGGGTAGCCGTGGGAAAAACGGGAGTAAGAGGATCAGTGGGAGAAACGGAAAAAACCAATTACCAAGACGAGTGGTTACCCACCTAACAGTTGCACCAGGAGCGCAGCACCCAGGGGTGTGGGGTATCGCTCATCACGTCGTTACGTCTGCCGCTGGGAAGCTTCTCACTGCTGCGAAGCATCTCATTGCTGCCAACCCTCTGACTGCTGCTACGCCACCCACCGCCGCCATGCCGTCCCTGAAGGAAGAAGTGCCGTTCGAAAGCCGAGTCGCCGAGACGCACAAAATCAGAGCCAAGTACCCCAACAGAATCCCCGTGGTGTGTGAGAAAGCCAACCGATCAAACCTCCCCGAAATCGAGAAGAAGAAGTTTCTAGTCCCTATGAATATGCTCGTTGGAGAGTTCAAATTTATCCTCCACCAACACATAAATCAGAGTGCCTATGGAAACAGCATGAAGCTATTTCGGGAGAAGACCATCTACCTTTTTGTCAACAACGTGATTCCAAAGACGGGGTTACTTATGCAGGAATTGTATGATATGTATAAAGACGAAGATGGGTACCTTTACTTGGAGTACAGCTGTGAGAGTTGCTTCGGATGACGGGGCAGCCTCCATAAGAAGAGGGCGGCACTAGAAAAGGGGGAAGTACTCATGTATACTAACGGCAAGCGTGGGGACACCCAACTCACTCCCATCCAGTGGTCAGTGTTCCATTGCGTCCCTCCTTCACCGGTTATGTATTTGCAGATACGTGTTTTCTGTGGCGCGCCCCCTTCTGCCGCAACAAAAGGGATCAAATTGGAAGAGAACACGCAAACAAGGAAAGAAGCAAAGACTCGACGAGGAGAAGAAGCCAAACATAACTGTTTTGCCCCCCATCCCTAATAACAGCTTCTTCATCAGTGCTGTCAGTTCTTTTACCCCCCATGCACATAGGACATAAGATAAACGCCATTTTTCGTTTCCTCTTCTTTCCTTTTACTGTGTTATCTTGAGGAAAATACAGGTGTCGCTTCATGCACGCAGGATGGCGAAGGACCAATCCGTTGGATTGTCCCCCCTACACACCGCTACCCAGACACACCTCTGTGTATATCATTTTATTAATCCATCACATGGAGAGCGAGGAGCTGGTGCTTCGTCTCGACAGTCTACACTTTGTCTGTTTACCTCCACGTGTACGTGAAATTTTGCCCCCACTTCTGGGGCCTACTCTGGGTTCCATCTTTGGGTCCATTTTGTGGTCCATTTTTGTTTTTCTCTTCCCCTGAGCGGCGGCCATCCATCCATCATATGGCCACCTGCACCTCCTGTCTTTCCCATTTTGCTCCGCATTCACTCTGTGTGTGCATCAGTCCGATTTGCTTTCCCCCTGCTGAACGAACTTTTTTTTTAAGTATTCATTTGTTAAATAGCCGGGCCATTGGCTCGATACGGTCGCCTGTGGGAGATGTTCCCCAGATGGGGATTCCCCTAGATGAGGTTTCCTTCCTTGTGTGCTATAAGTCATCACCTGATGTGCTCCTTCCAGTTCAGTTTGTCTTTTGCAGCGTGGGTGGAGACGTACGTGGACCGCCTATCAGCTTATGCGTAATCTCAGTCTTAATCGCGTCCGAATTGGATGTAGTGGTAGGATCCAACAGAATGGTTTGTCTATCATTTAACCGGGGAAGTCAAGTTGAAGAGAGAGAGAGAGAAAAAAAATGTCTAGCTAGTCAAATGGGACAACGTGGAGAAGGGAGTCAAATCTACCTCGTGAACCGAACTTGAGATGTACCGAAGTGTCGAAAAACATGGAAATAATACGTTCACGCCTTCCCCCCTGGGTTGTTCGTGCTGCCTACACGTGAGGGCAACAATACTGCGTCGGATGCTGCAACTCACTATGTGTTTTGCTCAGGTTGGCCTTCAGGCACGACTGCTGTGCTCTCCTCGTAGAGGCAATACCCGTTAATCCAGTGAACCTGAGTAGGTCGTTTTTTTACTCCCCTATAGGTGTACCTCCCTTCCTGATATGCGCAGGTGGTTACAGGTTCACTATACAGTGGGGGCCCATTTAATTAGGTCACCTCCGCTGTCGGTGTTGTGTGAAGGCGGCACTCCTCCGTGGATCAACAAAGCCGACATGAACAGATGAAAAGTGAAAGGTAAAAAAGTGCCGCTTGTACGGGAAACACTTAACTAGCTCTGCAGCGCAAATCGGGGATGAGGATGGTGGGAGAAGGAGCCTTTTCCTTTCTTTTTGTTTCGGATGAGTATCTACCGCGGGGCCATCCCGACTTCGCCACTCTATCGATTGATTACGTATTTGCAGTCACTCCTCCTATGATAACTTTTCTTATCTTTCCATTCCTTCCTGTTGATCCTCCTTTTGGCGCAAGGGACCATTTCGCCTTAAGATAATGCGGACCACCTCGGGGAGGCCTCCTGAGGGTGGGAAGGAAAAAAAACGGTGCTTTTTCACTTGTGGTGGCTGCGAATCATTGTAGGGTTGGAAGAGTAGCATTACCTTATGCCCTTCTTAGAATCTACTGAAGTGGGAGGGGGTCATCTGGGCGCAGAACAAAGGTGCCCCGCTAACCCTTCGTTCAACTGTTGCCACTCCCCCCTCTCCACCTTTCACCACTCAGAACTTCTCCCCACTTGATGATCCTACCGCTGCTCCTACACTCCATCCTGAGTACGCAACTGCTCACATCAGAACGAGTCGAACGTGGGGATGGTAGAAGAATTGTCTGTGCTGGATATGTGCAAAAGATGAATAGAAAGGATGCCCACAGATGGAGGATCCCAGAATGCTACATAGTGAAGGGAGGCCTGAGGAGGAGACTCTCCAAGGGGGGACCCTCCCCCTCGGTGAACAAACTAAATCGATGTGCAGTGACTCCTCTGAGTGGCGAAGCGTGTGGTAATGATTACACCAAACCGAACAAACATTACGAAGCGCACATTCGAAACGTGTGTGAGGAGCTACAACAAATGAATGACAGGGAAGACAAGATGAGGCACCTGATGAGGGAAAACACAAACGTGTGTACAGTCAATTTGAGTGAACCAGTGGACAGGAGGAGCTTCACCTTAAGGCATAAGTCGAAGTCGGGCTCCGCAGGGAGAGACTACTTCATTAATGAGGTTAGCGAAGGAGTCCTTTACAGATATGTGGAAAGGTGCAACTCAAATTTGTACTTAGCTGTCGATGTAGTGGATGCTGGAGGGGAAGAAGGTTGCGAAGTGGATTTGATTTGTCCCCCCTCTGAGCAGTCCCTCCGTCGAAGTGACCACTCGTGTGATACGTCCCATTGGCAAAGCATCCTTAGAAGGAAGAAGTTCACCATCACCGTGGATGGGTTCAGTGACAACATTGTCTTGTTCTCCTTCTTGCGGGTTCTTCTAAAAGGACTTAAGAGGCTGGACCTGCAATGCTTTCTCAACATGGGGTTCGAAGGAGTGGTAAATCAGTTGAGCCACCTCTACACGATTCACGTGAATTGGGAACAAATCGCTGGGCATGTGATGAGTCAAGTGGAGCGATTCCTGGGGAGGCTCTGCAGGGAGGTGGAAAACCAAGGGGTGAGTAAGCGCCTGTTAGGCCGCCCGCCCGTCCAAAGAAACATGCACATGTATCGGTACCCACGCGTGGCGCACATGCTCAGTGGAGGGGTGGATTCCTTGATGGCACTACGACTCTTGGAAAGAAAAAAATTCCACGTCCACAACTTTTTCCTGAACTTTGCGCACCAAGATTGTAGCAAGAGTGATCTCAAATATGTGAAGAAAATCTGTGCGAAGAGGAAGAACCTCTTTATTGTTAACATTAATGAGGAGTATACTGAGGAGGTGCTGATCCCTATGCTGCGTAGCTACTCCGAGGGGAACATCCCTAACGCGGACATCCTCTGCAACGAGAAGGTAAAGTACAATTTACTCATCAGGACAATGAGGAAGCTGTGTAGGGAGAGAGGCGATGGGTGGGACTACTCCTATGTGTCCACTGGTCACTATGCCATGATAAGCACGAACGATGAGAGAAACGCGAATAGGCTCTTCAGCCGGGATTTCCCCTATGTGGGTGATGACACAGATGGGGAGGTTAAAGGGAGAACCCCGCGCAAGAGGTACCGATTAATCGTCGGCAGGGATGAGAAGAAAGACCAGACCTTCTTTCTGTCCTCCTTCTCGGAGAAGCAGCTGTCTAGGTTTCTGTTTCCGCTTTGCCTCCACCGGAAGAGTGATGTTAAGCGGATCATGGAGGGACGGGCCGCCGGGAAGTACAACCGGAAGGAGACGCGCGGTTTGTGCCTCTACGGGCGGGTGGACATGAACTCGCTGCTGGGGCTGTACTTGGGGGGGGGAAGCATGACCAGGGTAGGTAGCGAGGGGGAGTCGGAAGGGGGTTCAATTGAAAGAGAAAGAGGTCCAGTTGAGAGGGAAAAGGGTCCACTCGAGAGGGGAAGAAATCCAACCGAGAAGGAAAGGAGCTCAGCCGAGGAATCTCTCCCCATAAAAGCCGCTAGTGGGGCTGCCCGCGCCCTACAATGGGACACGAACCAGCTGCGCTCGCCCGAGTTCCGCGCCTTCCAGGAGAAGCACCTTCCCTCATTCGACCTCCGCTTTAAGAATTACATAATAAACGTTGAGGACGGAACGGTGCTGGACACGAATGAAGGAATCCATCTGTATGCCATTGGACAGAAGAAACACATAACAAATCATTTGCACCAGGTGTACAACGCGAAAGGAAGAGGTCGGAGCTGTCAGAAGAACTTCATATCGTCATGTCAGTGGACAGTCGTTTATAAGAAGATGTTGAGATGTGGCAATGGAGACGTGAAGGAGAGTTTTAAGGAAAACTTCATCTACGTCAGCCGTGATTACGGAAGTGCGCTGTTTCGGCACCTTCGTGGTCGATGCAAATTGGGGGCTTTTCGCTGGGTGGCCTCTGTCTCGCCTTCCTACCTGCGGGGGGGAGCATCAAAAAAAGATGCGGCAGAAAGGGACGAAGCAGATAGGACGCTGATCATGCCGGCCACCAGTAGGAAGCTGGCAGGACAATTCATCTGCGTCAGAGTACGCAACAGCGAACAGATAAAGGAAGCAAAGATTGCCCTCGATGACCTGGGAGAAACAGCATACCTCACACTGAAGCAGAAAGATATTGGACTCTCCCCCGGGCAAATAATCACCTTGTATCTCCCCTTCATTGTTAAAGGGAATGGGAAAGCAAAATATGTCTACTCCCTGAGGAGGGGGAAGAAGGACAGTCGCATCTTTTTCCACTGCCTGGGGTCGGCACGAATTATAAACCAATACTTGAACCGAGGGCTCTATCGACGGCTCATGGAGATTCACAGAAGAAACAATTTGCCACTTTGGGGGAGGGACAAACATTGCGGATTAGTCAATTCGGAAGCGGCATTACAGTCCTGAAGATGGTCCGAATTGATAAAGTGGAGCAGCTGCACCGTTATACGAAGTCGTAACTCTAGACAAGTGTACGTACAAGTGCTGTATTTGCATTTTTACAGTGTGTCTAAATTGGACCTACCTTAGCGAAATACAACGTGTTGCGTGGGAAGAAGACCCCTAGCATAGGAAACATAACTTGGACGAAGGGCGCCAATGCAGTTTTTATGTCACGTCTTATTTGCAACGGGTGATGGTTGCAATCGAATTGCGCACCGGCGGGGAGTGCGTCTACTGATATCCCGCAGGAGTGAGTTTTTTTTTCTTTTCTTAAGTAAATATTTTTCTCTCACATGTAAATGATGATTGTGGGTTGTGTCATCCGCGTTAAATGTAGTGACTGCCCCTTCGAGTGTGGCCTTTTTGTGTCCCTTTGTTCCTCACACTACTGCCGCGTGGTCCACCAGGAAAGTTAATTTGCCCCCCTCGCGCTTGCTTACGTATGCGCCTCACACCTGCGTTTTACATACGCTTGTGGGGGCGGCCGCAAGTTCGTGGCAGGCCACTTTCCGTTTAAGAAGTGCGCATCGAGCTAGGAACATCTGTACCAATGAGGCGGAAAATAAGCCTCTGCTTAACCACTTGAAAGGACCACAAAAGAAAAGAAGAAGAAAAACTGCAAACAAAATGATCGCATAGTGGAGTATGGAAAAAGGCGTACACAACCGAATGAGGTCCATCTTCATAAAGGCATTACAAAAGCGGACCGTTACAGAAGGGAATAAAGCGAAATAAAGGGAAATAAAGCGAAATGGAGTGAAATGAAACGAAATAAAGCGAAACAAAATGAAACAAAATGGAAGGAAGGAAAAACAAATTTTATCGTCCGTATATTCTTCACCATTTTGAGAAAGTGGAAGGAAAAAAGAAAAAAAAAAAGATGATGAACTGACTATTCAGCACTTTTGGAACCCTTCCCCATCCATTTTAAACGTGCATGTGGACAAGGTACATGCCCACATGCCGGGGGACACTGCCTAGAGGGATAGCATCTTCAAGGGGCGCTTCCCAGTTGGATGTCCGTGGGCACCTTTGCTCTGGTCCACCCTGTGTATAGTTTTCCCTTATGTGCGTAGCTGAGGTGGTGCGGTGAAATGAATCTCCTTTTAAATGAACGGCATTGACGAAGGCCACAGTTTGCGTGGCGGTGGACACGTCCCTCCTCCTGGTGATGTACGAAGGGATCTGCAGGGAGGTGTGCACGTCGCAACCCTGCGGAGAGAAGGCAGCGAGAGTCAGGGAGTGCAAACACACGTGATGCTTGACGGAATGGAGGACCAGGCAACAATGAAGGAAGGGCGGGACAGAGAAGGAGAAGGCATTCCCCCTGGAAACAACCCTTTGATGCTAATGCAACCATGTGGAGCCCCCGGAGTTGCCAATGCGGCGAGTTCCAAAGTGGGATGCGAAGGTACAACCCAACGAAGTGTGGACTACGCGAAGAAGACGATAGCAAATGCGAAGGAGATCCTGAAAAACAATGACCAGTGTGTTCTGAGCGAGTCCAAGTTGGAGGCGAATGAACTGAATGACATCGCGGAGATCTTGCACAGCAGGGATGGTGAGATGATGGCGGTGGGAGGAATGGCTTCTATCGGACGGATGGCTTCCATGGGGGAAGGCATTACTGGAAGAATGGCGGGAAGTGGAAACCCCACAGCGAACGAACCAAACGACGCAGACATGACGGTCCTCTTTGAAAGCTCTACCTCCTCCCTGCCATTCATCCTGAAGGGAATTTCGGAGACCCTCGACCACATCCTCTCAGTCGACAAAATAGAGAGTAGAAATAAAAATCAACTCATACAAGTGGTGCAAGATGCACACATGCTGCTGAGGTCGAATTATAACCTTGTCCTCAAGTGTGATTCCAACTTAGCAATAATTGTAAAAAAAATTAGAAGGCTGTACAGGCTCTACAGAAAGTTAGATAATCCTGAGGGGAGGTCTAGGAAGGGAGAGACTGTTGTTGGGGACACTGCTCCAGAGATACTACCCATTGCACATAGCCACACAGGGGAGCCCCCCTTCATTAGGGATCCCGGCAGTGGTCATGGCGGTAGAGTCATAATAAGGAAAAACCAGAACCAACAGGATGAAACTCACCAGGGTGATGCAAACACAGGGGTTCACAAGCGAATTTGGGGGGCTACTACTCAAGATAATGATTACACGAGTGGTTTTGTCCCTGGGGGGAACAAACAGGTGCAGAGAAACGTCCCCTCCAGTGTTGCTTCATCAGTTAGATGTGGATACAGTTGGAACGTTGGGGAAGGAAACCGGCAGGTGGACCCCCCATGTGGGGGGGTAAAGTCCGGTGGGGGAAAGAGAAACGGGCAAAAGACTCTGCTCATGGAGGGATCGCGCGTGGAGACACTACTGAGTGGGGGACCTTCCCACGAGGCGACCATCAACAGTCAACCGCTTCAGGAGGCCCCTCTCCAAGAGGTAGTCTCACCTACAACTGTAGGGCTGGACCAGAGGCTTCCATATGCCTATTGTGAAGCAATTACTGTAAAGGACTGCCCACCAAGCGATACGCAAGAAGATAGCAGCTGCGTGGGCAAGAAAGACCGCCCCATTGATCCGAAGAAATTAAGGTACTCGTTCGTTAATGACGAGGAGGGGCGAAGTTATGAAAACCTCATGAGCATTGACTCTAAGTCGACGGTCATGTCCAACCACAAGGAGGACGCAGGGTCGTCAGTCACGACGGAGGGGAGGACAAAAACGGAAAGAAAAAGGACAGAAGGAGGGGGAAACACAATGGAGGAAACAGGCAAAACGGAAGGGATAAGCACAGCGCAGGAATGGAAAAAGACAAAAAAGGCGCAACAGGAGCGGATAGAGTGCGAAACGGGGGACGCGGAAAACGCGGCAGAAATGCACCCCGATCACCCCGCTGACAGTGCACACACTGCACCCCCGGCGCGGAGTCCAACGAAGGAACGGAACAACAAAAAAAAGGAACGCAAAAAAAAAAGAATCCTGCGCGAGCTGAGCAAGCTGAACTCGCTGTTCTTCTTCACCTTCAACCACAAGGGGGACATTATAAACTACCTTCACAGGGAAATACGCTCCAGCATTTCGGAGTTCGACGCGGCGTACCAGCTGTATGTGTCCAGGTAAGTGCTTCCTGGACCGCTGCGTGTTGAGGTGCTCAATCGATTACCCGCTGAATCGCTTCCCTGTATGGGGGACTCTACCCCGCTCAATTTTTTCGTCTCGCTGGAGATGCCGTGTTGCCGATGCGCACCGCGTGGCAGACGCATCTCCTGTTTTTTTTTTTTTTTACTTTTTCTATCCGAAGCAATTGTTACTTAACTGAGGAGCTCTCTTCCAATATTGGAACAACTCCGACATGATGATTAATCCCACTATGGTTGTGGCTGCCCTTACGTGGGGGCATCCTACCAAACGGGTTTTTCCCCTTCCCACGCTGTTCCGCTAACCGCTTTGGGTTGCCGCCCCACCTCACAAGTTCATGTAGCGCAGTATCGTGCTGGAGATCTGCTGCGAGATGTTTTTCACGAAGGCAGGGGCGTCTATGTTTGTAATAAAGTTTTTCTTTCGCCTGGAGTTGCACAAATAGGTGGTGTAAATATCTTCGATGTTTCCGAGTTCCATTTCGCAGAGCCACATGTCGAAGAGGATATCATGGATGAGCTTCCTGGATTGGTTTTTGTGTCCCTCGGGTGAATTCTCCTCATTGGGAGTGTCCCATTCGTTCGGCGGAAACCAATCAGCTTTCTCTTCCCGTTTGTGCAGTTTGGTTGGTGGCAGTTCCGTTCTCCCTTGTTGGGTGTGTAGCTCGCTGAAGCGGGAGTAGCGGTTATCACCACGGTATGGGTTATCCGCACCGTAGCGATTATCCCCCGTTTTGTAAAACTTGCTCTCCAACGTTTTGTACGCATCCGTGGTGTACTTCCAGAGGTGTTCCAGGGAGAACCCGCTGATCCCGGCTTGCGGGCTTGTAGGCTTCCCCGATTCCTCTCTCTTCAGAACCTTCACAAGGTGCATGATGTCCTTCTGCACCTGCTTAATTCTTCTGTCAATGCCGTTATATATTTTTACAATCAGCTGGAGCTTAAACTGGTCTGTGTCTTCCTCAGCTTCGTCCTCATGGTTCCCTTCCATGGGGTTGCCACCTTTCACTTCCCCTCCTGTTGCTGCTACTAGACTGTTCGTCATCCTTCTGGATAACTTCCCATCATCGCGAACGGTTAAGTTTGTGTCCTTGTTAAGTCTATATAACTCCGGTAGGGCGACATGGGGGGAGGAGCTTCTGGACCAAATTTCGTTGTGCTTGCCACCGGAGAAGGGTTCCCTCCTCCTCAGTGGGTTCTCCTTTCCCCCTTCATTCCCTCTAACATTGCCGCTAACATTGCCGCTAACATTGCAGTGGTAGAGGGGGGGGTGTTCTCTGTGGGAAGTTGGGTCACTCTCCAGGTAGATATCCTCTTCTGGGGGGGTGCTCTCGTTGCCGAAAGGATCACTGGCCGCCCCCTCGTGATGACCGCTCTGCCCTGAGCCTCCTCCCCCCAAGTCGATATCGATTTGATATTCATCAATCTCCTTTTCAATTAATATCCTATACTTGTATGCCTTCTCCTTGAGCAGATAAAATTTGGTCTTTATCTGATAAAGGTTATAATCTGGAAAGACAATCATTTGATACAGATGAAATGTCTTAAGGGAGCTTTTTCCCTCTGCAGTGTCAAGTCTCTTCCTCGTTGAAACTTCTTCTCCTTTCGATTGGGACACCTTCGATTTCACTTCCCTCTGGTGAGGGGGCGTTTTGGAGGGATCGTCCTGTCCATAAGGTATAGAAGCTCTGGACGGTATAGAAGCTCTGGAGGGTACAGATGCCCTGGTAGGTATAGACGCCCTCGAAGGTATAGACGCCCTGGAAGGTATAGAAGCTCTGGAAGATCCACAGAAGTTGACCTCACGCCTATCGGTCCTTCTCACGTCCACCTCCCCTCCTGTATAATGTGCAATGCTATCTGACAACTCTCGAGTGAGTGTGTTGTCTCTCACCCTTTCGTCCGAATCCCCTCCGCTGACATGGGACAACAGAACGCTGCGAGTCGTCTTCATCCTCTTCGCGCGGAACATGAGAGCCCTGATGGTGGTGACCCAATAGTTAAACTCTGGCAAACTTTTACACGTCAGGGTTACCTTCTTCTTTTCATTCATGTAGACGATGGAAAAGGATAGCCTCTTCAAGATATCGACCTTGAGATTCTCCAGGATGTCTTCATGGACGGTCCTTATTTCGAGGCTATTTATCGTTCGGAAGTAAATCTTGCACTGCTCATCTGTCTTCCTGGATGAAAACCATTTAATGAAATTCAAATCCTTACTTACGAAGAAGAAGCGCAAGTGAGGAATGCTATAAACAGTATGCTTCAGCAGATTTCCTCCTTCCTTTGTGTATTCTATGGCTCTCAGCACCTCCGGGAAGTTTAGAGGGTCCATGAGCTTCTCCTGCACGTGGTTCTTCCTTCTTATTAGGTATTCCTCATTTGGTTTCACATCTCCTAATGACTGCTGCTCATATCGCTCGCAGATTCTGTAATATGCGTAAATGCCCCCTTTTAGTCGTATTTTTTGTATATTTTTTTGTTTCTCCTTGAAGAGGTTATCTTCGGTGAGTTTTTCCAGACGCACGAGATAGAAATCCTCGTTCGCGATGTTGATGCAGAAGTTGTGCACGCACCGTTGTACTTCTTGCCTACTCATGCCGCGCCCCCAGCGGTACGCAAAGGGCTTGTCATCACACCACAGGCGGCACATGTGGGAAAGCGAATCGGGGGGAGAAATACGAGAAGCGGTTGGCGAGGCGACAGGTGAAGCGGTAGCAGAATCGGTTGGCGAAGGGATTGGTGAAGCAGCAGGGGAAGCGGGAGCAGAATCGGTAGGAGAAGATCCAGGAAAAGCGGTAGGAATAGCGATAGAAGAAGCGCGAGGAGACGCGGCGAGTGCAACATTCGTGGGGTGAAGACCTCCCACCGGGTGAATAGCCTCCACTGGGTCCATCGCATTCGCCTCACCCGCACCCACGTTCGAGCTGCACCCACCGGAGTTGCCATCTTCCCCCCTGTCTGTCCCCAAGATGGTGTTCTCCTGGATACTCTTTAAGATCTTCTCAATGGAGTTGGTCGAAGAGAAGTTCTCCTGCCTGCTTAGCCCCGTGGGTTTGCTCCTCTGAAACTGGGCTTGCAGCGTACCTCCATAGTGATCAATACGTTGTTTTCCTTCTCCCTTTGAGATGACCCTTCCGATGGAACTTTCGTTGTGCATTCCAGAGCACTCTGTGTGTAGCGTCTCCTCACTCGGCTCGTTCACCATCACGTGGGGCCCCTTGTCGGTCTTTCCACAGAAGTAATTCTCTTCATTCCATTTGTTTGCCTTATCTGATTGGTTCGCTCTGTTTGACTCGTTGACTGATGGCGGTCGCTCCTGCGACGGGGACCTGTAAATCCTCTGGAACTCCTTCTCCAGATTGGCAAAGTCGATGGTGGCGATGTTTGAAATGTTCACGACATGCGCATCGTTGTTATTCTCCTTGTTGTCACAGGGGCCGTCGAATTTGAGGTCCTCCTCGAGGGGGTGCTGGTCTGTGCGCTTCTTCTGTTCGTTCATTTTGTGAGTGCCCTCGGAGAATAAGTGAGTGATACACGTGGCAATATATAGAAAGACGGCCTCTGTGATGACTGCAACGTAGTCCCACCCCAGGGGCCCCCTTTAATAACAATGCTCCGTTTCTTTTTTTTCGGCTAGACGGGTCAGGTAACTTCAGACTTCAAAAACAGGCGTGTTCCAAGGCGCGCATTCGCAGCGGCGTGTAGGAATTAGCTCCTTTGGCGAGTTACGTCTTGATAATTCTCCTCTGGGTCATTCACGCGTGGAAGGGGAGCAATCGAAGGAGAAGTCAAAGGGACGAAAAATCAAACGGACGAGCAATCAGACGAAGGAGCAGACATGTGTGCACACATAACTACAGAAATGGGTGAACGCCATGGAAAATAACTGCGGAGCGAAGCAGCTGCTCCCGAAGGCGAAAAAACGCAACGGGGGGGAATGACTTCCCTATTTCACTCCCCAAAGGTATACACCTCGTGATAAAGACAACGACAGTGCTTATATCAATGGTAAATCGTAAGTCATGGGTGCGAAATGTGTGCTTTGTCATCGGATGAGGTGACAAAACTGCTTCTGTGAAAAATCATTCTACATATATATATTTTTATTTTATTTTTTTTTTTTTTTTATCTTATTTTTATCTTATGAGATACAGATCTTATTTTGATCCTATTTTTATCTTATTTTTATTTTTTTTTTTTTTTTGGGCACGCGTTAAAGTTGCTCATCCGATGTGCGTGTGGCCCAGACGATAGTACGTATTGGGGGGGGAAAATGCTCGCCAGTTCCCCACTAGGTGGGGAAGTGAGGAGCCTGCACATGCGTGAGCGCTTCTCTTCTCGTTACATATGTGAACATATGCGCGGCAGGGGAAAGGAAAGAAACAAAAAGGACAAATGCTGAACTAGGGCGAAGTTAGCTGAGGTGGCGTGAATTGGCCGAGGTAATGTCACCCTGGGGTAGCGTAAACAAAGTGTACCCCGAGGGTGAAGTGGAACCGTGGGGGAATTACCTCGAGTGGTGTAAGCGTCGCGTTCCTTTTCACCAATCAGGTGAGTGAGCCGGGAATCCATCGTCATTAAAGTTCGTCCAGGTTCTCACGAGGTTATGCGAGAATGGGCGCAGCATGTGTAAAGTTGGCTTCTCTGTACTCCTCCTGTACACTTAGGAAATGTACATAAGGATGCACATATGCAAAGCTAACACTGCTATGCGCATTTCTCCTGAGTGCCGGGTGGCGATCCGCTCAGACTAGTCAACTGAGCGAGGAAGCATAATTAGTTCAACTAACAAGGGTCACGAAAAGAGCAAACTCGTTCCAGTGAACCGACCCCACCGCGCGTGCACACCAACAGGAAGAACAGACATTTGAAATGTGTGCAGGAATAGGGAGAACGAATCAGTCACGCTCGTGTGGGGAGACTTCCCCTTCTAGCCATAATGAGAAGGAATTATTTATTTAATTTTTTTTATTTTATTCTTTTTTCTTCTGATGAGCATTTTTTAGGAGCAAAATGGATAACAGGGAAGTGAAGAAACGCCCTGGAGAAATAGATGACGTTTATTTCTGTGACACCATAAGGAGGGAGCTCCAGGTAGGGAGACACATGAAAGAGTCCATGGCAGCAGAGCTGTCAGTTCGTGTAAACGTGGTGCGCATCCTGGGGGGTGTAAACAGCAGCGCATATATGAGGAAAAAAAAAAAAAAAAGAAGGTGCAACTGAGGAAGGTACCACCTCCCATGAGCTATCATTCCGCTGTTCTTTCCTCTGTGCCCATGGTGGACTCACCTGCGCGGGGAGCACCTCGGAAGGGAGGAGCAACGTCTCCCTCGCTATGATACTTCTTTAAGGTACTCCTGTCCATGATTGAAGATTTCTCTACCCATGTTGCTCCTCTACTCTTTCCCTGCCTCAAAGCTGATAACGGATGAATACAAGCAGAAGACGCAAAGGAAGTTCTTCTTAAAGTGCATCCTAAAGACAGAACTTCTTGTAGTGACAATTTTTTTGGCTCCCCTGTTGGCGTGCTTAATTTTTCTGGAGGGTATGGCTGTGGCTTTGGCAGTGGCACTGAGGAAGTCAAATCACGGACGCGTGGGAGAAAGCGGCATTCTTCTTGACCGTTCCTGAGTCCACTCAGCAGGGCTCGCTACGCATCTCCCCTCTATGTCCCACCTCTCACTTCCACTACATTATATCCCACTCTGCAGACAACGACATAATCAGTTCGCACTACCTGACGGCCCTGTTCTTTCTCATATCGCTGTTGCTTCTGCTGTTCGTCTTTCTCTATTACGAGATTGAAGATGCCCAAGTAGGTCGAATGCAGAGTCGCGCAAGCGTATGCATAGGGAGATCGTCCCTAGGTACCGCCATAAGAGGGAGGCTCAAGGAAAGGTTTCTCCTTTGGCCTACACTTACATTCGCGCAGCCCCTCTGCATACTTCCCACGTGTGCTACGCAGTCCTTTCACACACTGGAGCATGTTAGCAGACAGTCAAATGTTCCTCCCTCCCTGCAGACCAACCAGTTTTTGAGAAAAATAAACGGAGCTTCTAACTTATTGTCACCAAGGAATGTCTCCAAAAAAAAGAAGGAAGACGATTGTCATTTGAATTATTTGTCCAACTCTCATTTTATTTTCATTCAGAGAAACAAGAGATGGGAACTGCTGCCGACGAACCTGGTAGGACCGTACAGAGGAACGGAACGGCTGCTGGCTGCAGCAGGTTACTTATCGGGTCAGTTATCGACTCACTCATTGACGCACTCACTGGGTCACTCCTCAACCGACTTGCTTCTCCCCCCCTCCACCGTGCAGCTAATCAAGCAGGACATCTTCTTGCTACGTGCCGGGGACCTAATCCCCTGTAGATGTGTGGAATACGACATAGAGGAGGGCAGTACGTGCGTCGAGCTAATTCTATCCTGCTTGGTTCATTTGTCCACCTTGGGAATGTACACGTGGTTTGCTAACCCCCTTTATGATGATCGCCGTTGTTTTCATCACCACCTTACAGCGTACGGGCGGGGCTACCAAAAGTATGAGGTGTTCATGCCGATGGACAAGGATCAAATTAGCATGAACCTGCTGACGAGGCACGGGAAGGACGACAAGGGCGACTACCTGCCCTCATTCCACCTCTACTCATTCGTGGCACAAGAAAACGTGTCCATAAGCACCATCAGAAAGTATATGTTAGACTCCACAGAGGAGAACAAAATTTCGAAGCATAAGGGTAACCTGAGGAATGTAATCCTGACGGAGAAGATTCACACGTTTTACCTGTACACGTGGGTTATTCTCTTTCCCGTTTCTGTCGTGGCAGCGGCGGTGTAGTAAGATTGCATGAGTGGGTTGCCCCAACAGGGGCTACCTTTAACCTGGAATAGCTCTAATGTAGAGTAGCTCTAACCTGGCGTATCTCTCATCCGGAGTACTTCTCATCGGGAGTACCTCACTCCTGGGTGGTCATACCCCCTACTTTCCCCCCCTCGCAGCTTCACCGACATGAAGAGCCACCGAGGGGATGTTCCCCACTTTGTCATTATCTACTTTCTGCTGTACAGCGTGCTGATGTCGATCACGATGCTGCCCTTTTTCCACAGGTAGGGTTTTGCCACATCGCGGGAAGAGCAGGAAAGCTAACTGGAACGGCAGCTGGAAAGAGAACTGGCTAGACTGCCGCGTACAGATGTCGCGAACACACGCCGCCATACATCGTTGGATACCATTTTGCGCGGCTCTTCTACCTTCCTTTCCTTTTCTACTCCCTCTGAAGAATCTTCTCAGAGCTGATATACGGATACTGCTCCTCTCTGAATCTCATCTATGAAAGTTATTTTAAGGACGAGATGAACTACGAAAGGGATTTCTCCTCTTCATTCGACTTCTCCACCACAACAGAGGATACTGGCTATGCAGACAAGAAGCGCTTCGGGCTGTTTTACACACTGAAGAGCATATTTTTTTTAATCATTAAGGTGAGACTCCACTGCGAAGTTCTTTTGTCTTCTTGTTCTTCTGTCCCTTCTGGGGGAGGAGAGACAGACATATCCCGGTGGTAATGCCCCCAAAGGAAGAGAAGTTGCCTCCCGTAGGTTTAACTCTACCTCCTCAGATGTCTAACTATGCCATCTTTTTTTTTCATTTTATCTTATTTTATTTTATCTTTTTTCTTCCCTGTGATGGCATCTCCCCCCGCAGGGCATCAAAATCGATAAATGCTACCTGAACATCCTGAGCGACTGCTCAGTGCTGTGTTTTCTAGACAGTAGCGGAATCCTACTAGACACCAATCACAGCATTAAGGAGATCTGCCTGTATAATTGCATGAATTCGAAGGAGACCCCGTCAAGCTCGACTATGATGAAGGCAGTGGCAAATCACCAGAACTACATCCTGACCGTTATTGATATCCTAATGGACAACAAGAGCATGTATGCTTATCAGAGGATTAAGAACCGGAAAATCCTCCACTCTCTCTTTTTGTTGTCCTACTACACGCAAGTCCCTAAATATGTGAAGTAAGATCATTTGGAGGTGGGGAGTCTCTGCGGCTGTTCGGAAGCGGCTACTGCCGTGTTGGTGTGCACACCCTTGCTGGTGGTGAGGGGACACATATATTGAGCAGTTGGCAAACCTACACCGCCCTTCTAGAGGTAGGGAAGGCATTCCTACTCATCAGTGCCCTGTTGTCATCTGCTTCCTCCTCCCCAACAGACTCCTGGACGAGTTCCAGAACAACATCATGAATTACATGAATCAGCTGGACTACAGCCACCTCTTCATTTGTCTCTGCGACATTGGCAACATTTCGTATCCATACAATAAGTTTGTCTTCCAGAAGTGAGTGTCAGCGGAGGGGCGCCAAAGCGATTTCACTGCTAAGCGGTTGAACTGCTAAACAGTTGCTCTCCCACGGTGGACCCACTCCCCTGTACGCGGACCGCTTCCCCTTCCCCTGATAGGCTCTTCCTTTGCGTGGAAAACAAAAGCAACTACGAGTTGTACAAGAAAAAGAGTAGCGAGCTGAAGAAGCATAGGAAGAGCACGAGGGACGGTGGCGAGTTGCCATACCACGTGGAGGAGCACGCCGAGAAGGGGCAAGCCCCGGGCATCAACATATACGATGCGGTCACGTCCAGGGACAACTTTGTCTTTGCCTTTATCCTGTGCGAGAAGAAGAAAGACAAGTACCACCTCTTTCTGAAGGTGGGTTTTGGGGCGGGTTGCAGCACGTCATCCAAGCCGTCATCCACAGCGCCACACACACAGCCATGTACCCTCCCCCACGCGCAGGGACAACTGGACGCCCTCGTGAACAAGTGCATGTTCTACTACGACGGGGAGGCCATCAAGAGACTTAAGCGGAGGAAGAAGAAGGTGCTGCGCATCCTGAATATGCAGTGGATTTCCTCAGGTGGGCCCAGCATCAGCATCTACACATATATATTTGTTCGTGTGTGTGTTTGTCCTTCTCTATCATTCTCCCTTTTGTCACTTGCTCCCCTCCGCAGGAATCGAAAGCATATGCTTTGCATACCGACCCCTGAGCAAAGAAGAGAGCAACTACCTAAAGGAGAACTTCCAGAAGAACATATACCTGTTGACAATAAATAAGCGGAAGGTGTACCACCTGAGGAACTTCTACAATGAGAGTCCCTTCCCTGTGAAGGGGAATGAGAAGTTCTTGTCCCACTTGCTCTCGACGAGTATCTTCATTGGTAAGCGGCGCGAGGGTGGCACAACGAGTATGTCTAGGTAACAGTACATAATTGGAATGGGACACAACTACACTGCCTGTGCACCACTATCATCCCTCCCCTGCTCAGGCAACTCCGCAGTGAAACTCATGACGAACAGCGAAATTCAGATGCGGATTAACGACTTCTACGATGTGGGTCTCTTTGAAATGGTGCCTTCCTGGTGGGCACAGGGAAGGAAGCGTGGAGCGCATACAGTCCGTTCTCAGCGCTTACCCCTCTATCAATATATCACTATTCATGACTCTTCCCCCCAGGCAGGAATCCGCTTCGTCCATTTCAGCAAAACGGATCAAGCAAACACGAGGAACGTGTCCAACTTGCTCGGCATGGAGACTAACTGGAACACATCCATCTCTCTGAGTCTCAACGATAAGTGAGTGGTCTCACAGTACTGTTAGCACGTTGAAATCCTGAGTGATGCTTTCTATTTTTTTTTTGTAACCTCTTTATCACCTCGATCCGATCGGCATACGTGTGTATATACTTTTCTGCCCTTCCCTCTCTGCAGGTCGAGCTTTAAAAACAGGGATGGGAAGGTTGTCATCCCGAGTGGCATCAACAACATTAAGACGCACATCCAGGAGGTGGGAAAAAGAGAAAAACAATTCGTAGTCACGATATGTTTAGTCCTATGCTTTACCTCACTGTGCAGATTTGTCTCTCACTATGCGTAGGCATATTCACCTGTGCATACTCCCTACCCGTTCCTCCGAAAAAAAAACAGGTGGATGACATCCCGTTGCGAGTGTCGTCCTACTCAGGATGCAACCAGTTCAACACGGCCGAGATGATCAAAATTCTGCTCGTAAGTTGGACTTGAGCCAGCGCCAAGCAGGGACTAAGCAGAGACGAAGCGGCGGATAAGGGCACCCGAATGAGACGTGTGGAGGCACCACTCCGGCCCCTTTTCCTTCCCTTTGATATACGCACACCAGTGCACCTCTTCTTCCATGCACTTCCTCTCCTCCGCACAGGAGAACAACGAAATCATCACCTGCGTTGGAAACAGCCTGAACTGCTGCAATTTCGAAATGTACAGCCTGTGTAATTACGCCGTGTCTATTCTGCTCCCGTACAATAATGCCTGTAAAGATTGCCAGGGGAAAAGAGAAAGGAACACCCCATTTGATGAGTTATCCACAAAGGAGAACCCCATCATCTCGTATGCCTCCTTCGTGAACACGCTGCCGTGTAATTTGATAATAGAGAAGAGTCGACTTGGTAGGTTTGAAGTGATCAAGTGATAAGCAGCGTGTTGGAAGTGGGAGCAGACTGTCAGAATGGATGTTGTCTTCCCGGAGTCGTTGGCTCTCTATGACCCTCCTCAGTGTGTACCACTCCACTCCGACTTCACTCCCAACGAGTTTTCTATGTCTCTTCTCGCCGCTCCATCGCAACCACTTCTATATGCGTCTTCTCGCCACTTCCTCACAGACCTCTCAGAAAACATAATGGAGCTCGTGTACAAACTACTGAAGAGTTCTAGGATCCACAAGAAGAACGTCTCGCTGACGATTTTTTTCTTCTACTTCTACTACTCCCAGTTGTCCTTCCTATTGTTCATCGTTTCGGTGTTGTTTTTGCCCCCCCTAATCTCGGTAGGGGTGCCTTTAGTTGCAAGCTGTGACTTCCTTCAGGGCGAACTCCCCCTCCAACACGTGCGATGCATGTCTTCAAGTTTCTTTCCAATTGTTTCATTGGACTTTCCGCTTTCCCCATACAGGTGATGGACTACCTCCTGTTCATCCTGCTGATCATCCCTCTGCTGTCAATCGCCCTCCTCGGCAACGACAACAACTATACCATAATGAACGAGATCCCCGACAGAGTCATCACGCGGGAGTTCCTCATGAAGAGGCTGGTATGGGTTCAGCGGCGAAGTAGTGCCGGAGTCATCTGAGCCCCTCTGTGGGGACACACCCCTTTGTTGACGTAGAAAGGGGAGCCTCTATTTCATTGTCTATGATTAACACACCTATTTTTTTTCTTCTTTCCCCCCCACGCGGCAGCTCCTCTACCTTATCAGGTGGATCATCTTCATGCTCTTGTGTGTCACGTTGGCGGTCTACTACGTACAGCACATTAACAGGCAGTTTGCCAGCAGATACATTTTACAGTCCAGCTTCAGCGAAGACGTCTTAAATTCATTGCAGAAGAATTTCATGGCGGATGTGGCGCACCACTGCACGGAGAGTGCGCATCTAAGTAGGCATCCAATTTTTCGCCCCGAGGGAAAGAGTGAAGGAGCTGCTTTAGTGAAACTGGTTTCAGCACTGCCGTAGAGATGGTAGTAGCATTCGATGCCCTACTCGACACTCCTTCCGCCGCGCTACGTCTGGCGCTCTTCCCCCCATACAGGCTCCTTCTACAAATGCCAGCTGCTCCTGTATTCATTTTCTGACAAGGAACCTATGGGTGTCCGGCGAAACATGGCGGGTGTGATGATCAAGCAGTCGCAGATATTTTTTTTTTTTGTTTTCTCCCTGTTGTTCTTTGTCTCTTCGCTGTCGCACAGTGACAGGTGAGAAGACGGGCTCCGTTCGAAGTCGCGTGTGCGCTGCGGCGCTTGCGTCTCTGTGCATTCGTTGCTGCGTGTGTGTTGGTGTGTATTCGTTGCGTCTTACCCCGCTTCATCCCTTCCCTCCACGTAGGTTCGAACCCCTGTACAAGCTCACCTGCATCAAAAACTCAAAAACATACTTCTCCTGCTTGTTCATTTTCCTCATTCTGAGCCTTCTGTACGTGGCATTCCGCATGTACATGCTCCCCCCCCAATACGTAATTCAGGTGAGACAAACTTCGCTGCACATGGCAGCTGTGATTACTACACCGCCTGGAGTATTTTGTGGTATCATGTTGGAGGCAACACTCCGCTGTACCATGTACGATGTACGTTTTTGTACCTACTACACATGGATCATCAATGCATGTTAACTTCTCCCCCTTGGCAGTCTCCCGATGCGACTCTCAGCATACTTATAGTCATCTCCAGCCTCATCATATTAACAACAAACGAAACGTTGAAGCGCATCGAGGCAAGGATCAAAACGAACAGGCAGAAATATCTGAAGGTTCTGTTTGGAACTCGCCTGGGCATGTGGAGCCCCAAGTGAGCTCCCGCTGGAGTTGGCCACAGGAGATGGCTTTCTGCGCCGCGGGAGGGTAGCCCGCTTGGCGAGTTTCCTCCTTCTTTTGAACTATCCCCTTAAGGTTCACTATCCGGAGGGGTTTCCCCTGATCACCCCTTTTTTTTTTTTTTTTATTTTTTTTGTTGGCACCCAGTAAGTGCACACTTGTTGTGTGTCTCGCTTGGCGAAGCTGGAGAGTCGCCACCATCATGTATAGTTAAACCAAATCGATGACTCCTTTAAGGGGGCCATTCGACACATGCGCTGCGCAGGAGGGCTACCTATCGCTGCTGGGATGGTAGCATAGCCAAGTAGCTGCAAAGATGATTAACCTCGTCGCGAGGCGATTCCCCGTTTTGGGGAAACCCTTCGTCAATCTGTCCCCATCGAAAGGACAACACACCAAACACACAGACTATTTGTCACCACTTTTTTAAAGTTACCTTTATGGGTTCATTGAAAATTAAGACTTCCTCATCAGAACACGTGGGGCAAGTTTCCCTGGTGCACAGTGGCGCCCCATCCGAAGCAGCGTGTACATACGTAAGGGCAATTATGTAGGTATATCTTTTCAGGAAAGAAAAAAAAAAAGAGAGAATGTCGCACAAAAGGACGAAAAGAAAGATGCGGAGAGAGCGGGGAAGCTACTGTCTCGGCACATCAACACAGGCGTCGATCTGGATTACTGCAAGAGGTTGCTCCGTAATGAAGTCTCCATGCTAGATTCTAAATCTTCAATTCTGAGGCACTTGTCAATCTTCTTCTCATCCTGGTATGGTTACTTTTCCCGTTTTCGATCCCACGTTGGCACTCCTCTTAGCATTCTACTCGTTCGTCTTGATAATGTCCGAGTCACCCACGTCTGTGATGACGAGGCAGCTGATTCGAAATAACTTCCCACAGGCAGTCCCTAGGTCGTTGTTGTCCCCGTGATAATCGTGAACCCCACATTTCGACAGCATAGCGTAGTATTCTATGACACTCCTCTGAATGGGTGGGCAGTTGCTGCTGACGATGACGAGCTTGCCTGGGGGGGTGAAGTAGTGGGAAAGACGAATACGAAGTGGTAGAGACATATATATCACCAGCATGTGCAAAGTATATTTACGTATGCACGTGATGCACACAGGTCGCGGCGGGCGAACCGCAGGGTTACCTTTCCCCATTCGCAGGGCCTTCAAGCAGGACTTCCTCCCAAACTGATATTTTCCGGACTTCATCACAAGCTGTAGCTTGGCGTTGATGTTATCTCCCGCGCTTTTCTTTGACTTCTTCGCCATGGTGAATTATTGACGGGGGAGCAACGGTGTGCCTTGGAGTGGGTGTTAAAAAAGCTGCGGAGCAAAGCAAGGGGGAGGGGGAATCAATGCGTGTGGGGATGCAGTCAACAGGGTAAAAAGCATTCATTCGCGTAGTTAAAGCAGCGCGCGAGAAGGAAGCTCTTCTCTTCCTACCTACTGAAGCGAACGCGCTATAAAATGAGTACCTTTCTTCGCGGAAAGAACAAGAGAAAAAAAAATTCCCTTCGCCCGCAGAGATGGTGCGAGGGTCAACCTTTTCTTACAATCCCAAATCGGGAGTAGAAGAAAGTTAAAAAAAAAAAAAGAACTGGTCACTTCTCACAGGAGGCAGTTCAGATGTTCAGTCAATCACATCGGAACTGTGAATACGTGTACATCGGGAGATGCCCATTTGAGGAGAAAGAAAAGAAAAAAAAAAAGAGAAAAAAGAAGAAAGAAAAAAGAAGAAAAAATGAACTCTTTTTCCAGATTGGATACACCGTTGCTTTGTTGCTACGTGGCTCGGATTATATAACCTGCCGAAGGTTCTCGGTCGCGGAAAGAGGAAGCGCCGATTCGAGTGGGACGGCGTCAAGGTACGCTATTGCCTCTCCTACATTGCATATATTTGCTTGTGCAGGAAAGAAAAGTTTAGCAGGCAATCTCCCAGTGCAGTCCCACTCGAATAGCAAATCGTCCTAAATCTCGTTCCACCCCCCCACACCCGACAAAGGCGACCCTGCGGCGGTGGGGGCTTCCCACCCGAATTCACCACCACGCGAACATACGGATCGGCGGCAAAACAAAAAAAAAAAGCCGCGCACTTTTGCATACGCGAGATAGAGTGCAGCGCAGCGGGAAAGGAAAACAATTCGAATAATTTTGTTCTTTTTTTTTTTTCTTAGGTTGTATCGGCAGAGGGCATTTATAATGGAGTGGTCCATTTGGATGGTGCGTTTCTTTTTTCCACGCATTTTGTAGTTTTAGCTTCTCCTTTCCAATTTTGTTCGCCGCAGAAATCGCCAAGGGGTAAAATCGTCCCCTCTGTTTTTTTCTTAAACAAAAAAAATAATAAAAAATTGGGGACAAGTTAGCCCCTTTGTTAAGCAAGAATGAAGCGTTAAAAAGGAATAAATTGAAATCTCCACATCGAGGAAAAAACAAATGAAGAACAGGTTAAAGGACAAAGAACAGACGCATTGACTACATCGTATGCGAAACTGTTTTCTTTTTTTTTTTTCATTTTCACAGGTTGGAAAAACTCTTTGCCCGCAAGGTTGCCAACCGTGCCGGCGTACTTCATAGTGTAGAAGTCTCTGAAAAAGAAAAGTGACCCACCTTCCTTCATCCCTTCAGTGTAGTGCTGCTAAGGGAAGAATAACCAGCGGACGAAGGTTATCTACAGAAGGCGCCTTCTCACATCACCACTGCCATGGAGCAGAGATGTATGCAGCACGCTCGTATGGCAGATGGGAGGATGTTTCTATCTGAATACTTATTCGTTTAACCGTTGGACGGTGTGTTTCCCCCCTGACGTGGGATTTCCTCTGGGATTTCCTTTCGCGTTTTATCATTCATTCACACGCCCCTATCAGATGCGTAGCTACACACCAAACAGGCTAAGCGATCGATGGAATAAGCCGCCCTCTTTCGCGCTGCGTTCACGTGGTATAGTCCTTATAGGGAAAATTGTTTCCCTCCAATAGTGGAGAATAGCAGCGTCAGTTCTTCCCTGTAGGGATATACCATTTCTTTTAAATTACTCCCCCCCCTCGGAAGAAAAAAAAAAAAATGAACACCACTATTTCCTGTGTGCAAAAAGTTTTCGCTGGTAAATAATTTTCACGAATGTAACACATATGTAGTAATTACTGTAACAGAATGTAGGAATGTTTGTTTTTTTTTTTCAGCACTGTTGTTCTTTCCACTTTTCCTTTCAGTTAAGAAAGGCGACTTTTCCGTGTGCAATTTGATCTGCGGTGTGGCTGATCGCCACGTGGGGAATATCCCATTTTCCTCCTCTTTCGGTTTCCTTTGCTTTCTTTCTTTGCCTTTTTCTTGTTTTTTACATGCTTTATCTTATCGACGTTGTTACTCATAGAGGGAAGTTGCTCGGGGAAGAGGTCTTACCTCCATGTTCGCCTCTCATGGAAAGGCATCAAGTGTGCTTGTCTGTCGGACGGAACAAGGGAGAAGTATAGTTTGTCCCACTTTCTCACCCCTTTACTTCTGCACGCAATTGTGTGTGTCATTGTGCCTAGGTACCGCTCCTTTAAGTCTGCCCCACATGTGCTATACATTTTTACTCTTCCTTTTCCGGTGTATGTACGGGCTAGCACAATTGATGAAAAGTCTTAATAAGTCCAATTTATTTCCATTTTGTATAGTTTTTACGGTCACAGGAGGAGCAGAAATTTCAAAAGGGATATTATCGCTGCACTTTTGGGGTGAGGCTGCGCCGGCACGCCTGGGTTTACCTCCCCGTCAAGTACACCCAGTACAAACAGTACACACACTACAGCAAGTACACACTGTGCAGCTATATATGCACTTTTAATGGGTACACTCGAGGGGGACCTCAAACCTCTTGGGGCCGTACCCCTTTTGGAGATAAGACGAAGGGACTAAAAAAAGGGATGAACAGAAAAGTAAAAATTTTATTTGACCAAAATGGTTGCTTAAAATTGGGTAATCATTTGGGTTATTTGGCTGACATGTGCATGCATTTTTTTTTTTTCTCGATGTGTATCTCCCTTAAAGTGGAACAGAAGGGGAGGCAGTGGAAGATATAATCAGCATTCCCTCTTCATTGTTTTTCCTCCTCACCGAAAATAACGCAATTTGTAAAGTATGTGTATCCCTTTTTTTGATAAGCACGTTCTTTTTTGTTACCAAAGAGGAAGCATGTTGTGATGGGGACTTTCACACAAGTCCGTGACTAATGCACCGACTTTTGCCCTTTCATTGACCTATCACTTTTTTTTACTCCTTGGAAATACGTGCACACATGTTCCACTTAGAAAAGTTAAAGAAAGAAATTTTAAACGAAAAAATGGAACCAAGAAGGGGGAAACAAGAAAAAAAAAAAAGAGTGCACATGTAGGTATGTACATTCATGCGGGCTTTATCCCAAGTTGGCCTTCTTAGGGGAATGTGAAAGAGTAGGCCCTCCTTTGGAAACACCATTGAGCATTGGAGAATCAAGGAAGCCAATACGATGATCTCAATGGACAGACAATTGAACATGGTCGTGGGGCGGCTTGCAAAAAGGCTCACCAAATTTGCACAAATGAGGAATTACACTTTAACTTGTGCATGCCTCGGGGAAAAACAGAGTTACTTCTATGCATTCACGTGTTGATATATTCATGGCTCGTGTAATTGCACATCGTGGTGTTCACGAAGAATGAGATTGTGTTTACTCTTTTGCGTAAGCACCTTCCACTTGGGGGACTAGTGGACTGATGAGGAGGAACAGAAAAAAGGAGAGGTTCCCCAATCGGGAAAATCACTCAAACGGGGGGGAATAACCCCAAGGAAATTTCATATCATTGTTTATTAAGCATTTTACCGTGTGCATATCTCTACTCCTTGCCTTCTTTACCCAAACAAAATATCACTCCCTTCTGTGCGTGCATCACTTTTCGAATCCTTTGAATGTAGGGGAATCCTCAAACAGGAACTCACACTAGGGATGATTTATTTCTTGTGCGAGTGAGAAAGGGCTTTTTCCTTGTGTGCAAATTGTTCCTCTGTAGGGGACACAGCCTTAATTTGTGTGTTATGCGTTTTCCTCTTTTTCGCGTGTAGCAACCTGAGTTGTCCCATTTGTTCCCTATCTACCACATTTGTTGTGTTTCCCCTGTTCCCCCCTTTTCAATGTACCAGGAGGGATAACTCCAGTGGTATTTTTGCATAGCGTGCACAGAAGTGGGTGTTAATACTCACGAAAGAAAGAAGTTCACAACAAGCACTTTTTGAGTGTATTATTTTTCTCTTCATTCCCCCTTATCTCTATTTTAAGCAATCCATCTTGGAAATTACCAAGGCACGGGGGAGAACATGAGCAAGGGGATGAGGGGGGAAAAAAGAATAGTTGAACAGGCTTTTTTTCCCTCTTTTGGCATGTCACATTCACTTTTTTAATAAAAAATTTTAAGCATGGTGGTATTTTTAATATTATGCATGCGATGAAGTTGTCCCCGTGTGTGGATCTTTCCCCGCATGCTTGACCTATGTTTCCCTCATCGAATTGAGATCTTGTTTTATTTACGTGTGCCCCGTGAATTTAGTTAACCAATTAGCGGCTTAGCCATTTCGTCGTTTGGCTATTTTTTTTTTTTTTAAGTTAATTGCCCCCATCTCACCTTTTCTGTTCAGGCGAAAGGTGCATTTGCGTCGCTTTGAGAATGGCCGATCAGGTGCGTGTTGCACATGGTTGAATGAAGGAGGTCATTTGCATGCATGAAACGTGAGTGCCTCCCCTGGGAAGGGGACCTTGCACGCACGTACGTACATGCGTATGTATGTGATAACTTGTGTAGGCATTCCTTCCCCGTGCGCCGAACAGCGACAAACAGCGCCCCCGATGCATGAGCTGTGCTTATACGGGTGGTGCGTAAAACGTAGTGACCGAGTTAAGGCTCACACTTTAAGGAGTACCACCCAAGTGCGTTCCCCGTGGTGAAGACTGACTGCGGTAATCATTCAGAAAAGGGGTGCATTTATTGTTTACCTCTTATTCTTTACTGTTTATTGTTTTTATTTTATTTTATTTTTTCCTGTAATGTAGGCCAGAAATGCATATTGGTGCAGTTTATTGGGACATACACTTGCAGCCACCACTAGTCATGCCTGCTTTTGTGCTCATAATGTAACTTTTTTTTTTTTTTTTTAAATGTTTGGTTTGAAAGAAACATTTTTACGTTAAAAAAATTTACATCTCTTTTTAATCCTCTTTTCGATAACGTCAAAAAAAGAGAAAAAAAAAAAAAAAAAGAAACGGGAGAAGAAACCTCTCATTCTTCTCCACTTAGCACTTTATTTTCACCCCGGTGGGCCCTTTCGCCCGTACGTTTTTATGCTTGAAATTTATGTTGTTGCTTCGAATGAGAGAAGAACTGCCTCGAGAGGGCACACAACTACGCCAACGGCCTTATGCGTGGGCTTGTCATCACGTCGCCCCACTTGTGACAGCGGCTCGATCCGCACTGTAGGCGCAAATGCAAGAATGATTTTCTATTTCAAGCGCGTGCATGATACCTACCTGAATGCGTCGGCGCGAGTACCAAATAGGGGCATGCACCAATTGGTGTGTGCGTGTAGGTATGTATGCACATATATGCATGTAAGCGTGTGCGATTTTAACCTGCCACAACTTCTCCCAACTGTAGTATGATTATGCGCGTTTCCTTTGCACACACATGCATGCGCGAGGAACGAGCCGCCCCACATCCTCTGATATTTAACTGTTGCTTGTATGTGTGATTATGATGCGACGCATGCTCTTTTGTATGTCCTCCTTATTCCTCCACGTTTTCACTTCGACGTGTTGTTTCTTATTCCCCTTGTACTCCTCTCCCTCTTTTTATTTCATCCATTTTATTTCATCCATTTTATTTCACCCTTTTTATTTCACCCTCTTTATTTCATCCTCTTTATTTCATCCTCTTTATCTCACCCTCTTTATTTCATCCTCTTTATTTCATCCTCTTTATTTCGCCCTCTTTATTTCACCCTCTTTATTTCACCCTCTTTATTTCACCCTTCTTATTTTCTCTTTTTCATTTGCCAAACCCACGTGCTAACATCATTTGGACGTTCTTTCTCACGCGAACGGGTCGCTTCAGCTTAAAGCGGAGCGGAACCAGTGCATGCCCTCCTCGATGAGCATTCATACATAGACACATGCAACGGATATTGTGCATAGGGATCCGAGTGCGTAACTGATTGAACGGGGAAAAAAAAAGCGGCGTGGAGTAGAGTTTGCAGCTTTCTTACACTTGAGCTTATAATTTTTTCTTTTTCTCTTTAATGTGTCCATTTTTAATTTTCCCATTTATGATATTCATTACTGTATCTCCCACTTGTTGTGTGCCTCTTTGCTCTCTGAGAGGTGCACGGATTTGTAGGCACCCGCACAATGCGCGCCACTAGTACCCTCATGTATAATCCCAATGCACGGGAGTGTTCCCCCAGTTTAAGCAATTTTTTAATACGCCTATGAACAAAAGCACAATTTTTTTTTGATTTACCCTACGTGAGATGTTTCCCTGTTCATTTCCTTTTTTTTCTCTTGACTCTCCCTTGTGTAATTTCGCATGCACATTTCGGTAAAACTACACAGCGCATGCTTTAGAAACTGACACCATCTCCTCCTGTGCTAACCTTATTGTGAAGGTCGGTCACTGCTGGGGAGTCTTCCTTATTTTATGTATCAACGTGTTGGCTAACCAGCACTCGCATTATTAACACATCGCAATTTCTTAACAGATTTAATTTATTTTTCTTCTTTGCAAGTTTAACTCATGCTCTTCATTTAACTTCTTTAACTTGTGTATTGGTGAGTGTGCCCTCTTTCTTTGTGACCCTCCTTTTATTAATTTTCCTTTTTACATGCGCATAACTAAGATTCACATAAGTTTCATGTGAATTGGTGCCCTCCTGAGAGTGCATACATCCCGTGGAGGAGCAGCGACATCTGGGAAAGGAAGCCTCAAAGATGTATGCACAACGGCACGTGTCTTTATATTTACATTTTGTCGCTTTAGATAAACTTGTGGTATTTCATTCTATGAAGAGACGCCAAGCGCGAGAAGCATTACGTAACAGCGGTGCCATAGGGAAGGGAGGACAACAATTTTTTACGCCCCTACTGGAGGTACACACAAACGTGCATACCGTTCCCAAGGTGTAGTGAGATGATAATTACATTTTTATTTAAATTTTTTACATTTTTAAGGTTACATTCAGTGGGAAAATAGAGTAACGAGGGGCCCACACAGCTGTTTGTTTTTCCTCGCCATTATCGTGCCCCCTATGCATTTATCTGATTACTGTGCGCTCCCGTGGCACTTTTCATTCCAACCGGAGTGTTCACATGCCAACACACATGAGTACACAAATTCTTACAGTAGCGCCTCCGCCACACCTTCTTATTGCAAGGATTAGGAGTAATAAGAACGGCGGTTGTGCAGAGTAAGCCAAATAAAGCGAACAAAAAAAAAAAATACCTGTACATACAGCTAAAACAATAAAAAAAACCTATAAACAGTTCATGAAAAAAAAAAAAAGAATTTCGCAAAACTGTATGAGCATAAAATTGCATAGGAGCGTTGCCTGCGAATGGGGAGGTAGTCACCCAGAGAAACTGTGCAGAGTGAAGTACCTACATGGACAAGCGAGCGGAAATAGGTGCGTCTCTGTATATTTATATCGCGTGCATCTTTGCGTTTTAAAAGTGAGAACCAGTTTCACGTGATTTCACAGGTGTATGTTTAAATATATATATATACTTATGTGTGTGTCTGTTTTTCCAGACAAGAGCTTCTGTACCAAGTGCATCGTACAAGCCTTTCATTCTGCGTCCTTTGCATGACGGGTTGAGCAACGCCTTGCGTCTGCGTCCCTCCTTATTTCTCTCCTTTGCCTGGCTATTTTTTGTTCTCTTTTTATTGATTGTGCCTGTATTTATGTACAAGGAACCGACACATTCTTCAGCAGCGGCGTCACGAAGGTTGGCTCCGTCTGCGGCCATTCCCTCAGGTCTCTTTGCCCAACTTTTTCCTTTTCCAACCCGTGTCATACACACTTAAGCGGTAGAGACAACATGCATCGATTCAAGTAAGAAAAATGAAGAAAAAAGAAAAAAAAAAAAAACCATGGAATTACTCATCTCCTGCGCCCCGAACGGACGCTTCTGAACAAAGTAACGGCGCCATGTAGACCACTTTTGCACACACCCTTCTCATCCTACTTTTCCTTCCTGGCCTCTTAGGATTTACAAAATTCAGATGTGCAAATACGCACTGATAAATAAGTGTGACCGAGGGGAAAACTGCACTTTTGCTCATGATATGAGCGAACTGAGGATAAAACCCGACATGAGGAAAACGAAGTTATGTAAAAGTTACATATTAGGTATTCCTCCTCTTCATTTTTTTTTTTTTTTGAGCGAACAAATAAGAGAAATGTCTCGTTGAGTGCCTGGTACGTCTCCATCGTCTGTTTTGGACCCCTTTGAAAGCCCTGCAGATGTGTTACATACACTCACCTGTTCATTTGTTTTCATCCCCATGTTTGTAGGAAAATGCACTGACCACAACTGCATTTATGCCCATTCAGTGAACGAGCTGAGGGAGGTTGGGAAGCCAGCTATCTGCCAGCTGCACAGAGAAGGTTCGTCTAGCATCGAGTTTGTCCTATGCTTGTAGTTGGTTCCGAGGGGGAGAGGGTCAACACTTAGTTGGGGCCCATCCGATCTGAAACTGGACTCATTTTTTTTTTCTTTTTTTCCATCTCTTCGTTTTATACAGGGAGGTGCATCAAGGGGAACCAGTGCAGATTTGCGCACTCCATAAATGACATAAACACGAAGCTGGTGCAGTTCTATGAGGAGGACATGCAGGGGGAGGAAATGGAGTTTTCTCACCTGAACAGATGCCTGGATTCGGTCAGCCCGGGGCAATCATCCACTCTGAACAGAGGAGGCAGCATGGGAAGCGATCTGCGCAGCAGAGAACTGCTACATCTGCCGCGCCAAGAAAAGCGCAGAGAGTGGAAACTAAGCGTAAACTTTAACGACGGAAGTTCTAACTCGTCAAGTGCCGACAACCAGCACCCGCGGGGAAATACAAAGAACGGCAACAGAATAGACAACACATCTAAAGGTATGAAAAGAACAAATCTGATAAAGAACTCCTCATGCAGTGCGTTCTTAAATAATAATTTTCCCAATTTGAGCTGTCCGAAGGAAGAAGAAGCGGAAGAAAAAAAAAAAAACGAAGATCTGCTGAGTGCCCGAAATGGAGAGTACACAAAATTATGTGCAATCAATATGAACATCAAGAGCACCCAGGGAGGGGTCTATCGGTATGATGAGCAGTTACTCATCCAGGATGACAAAGAGGAGTATTTATTAGAAGGAAGATTTAAGAAAATGAATTGTCCTCAAAATAGACAGCAGCATGATGGAAATGGTTCCATTGAATCGGTGAGGCACAACTTTACGCCCCACTTCAATTTGAGCTCCATCTTATCCTTTAATGGAGAAGAAGCGGTAGAAGACAGAAGTCGCACCGATCGTGACGACTCGGTTAACTATGGGCTGGTAAGAAACGTGCACGCCATGGGTGAGGGGTCCACACTACGGTTAGGCAATCAGGGTAGGGGCGGCCATGGGGCAGAATTTCCGCAGACAGAAGAGTTCCCCAGAGTGCAGGGCTCGGGAAAGAAGGCGCTCTCCAGCGAAAGAGGCACATTTAAGGAGGAAAAAAAAAGAAACCAAGCAAACACTGATAAGGGGAATGGGTTGGTACACAGGGCGGACCGCTTGAGCGTTCGGGGAGGTCTCTGCTGGGAGGGGAAAGCCTACCCCATGGAAATGCTATCCGGGAATGGCGGTATGGGCAGAAACAGTGACCGCAACGAGGGCAGGAAGCCACTGCAAAGGGGGGACTATGGCGTTGGAACTTACTCCCCGGAGTTGCAGCACAGGGGGTCGGATGATCATCCCACTCAAACCACCCCGTACGAGAGGAAACTTCCCCTTCTTATCCTCGAGACAAACCTTTCCAATGAGCTGAAAAAGGAAAATGGTAAAGATAAGGATGAGGAGGCATCTCATCTGGCTAGGTATTACCAGTCCGCTCTGACCATACGTAGGGATGACATGTTTGATTTCATGGGTGGTTCAGTCCCTCGGTTGCCAGAGAGAAGCGAAGAAGTAGCGAATCAAAATGCATGCAGCACGTGTAAGACGTACCTGGCTGTAGACGCACAGAGGGTAAAAGGCCGTTTTGATGAGGAAAATGGCGAGCTGGACGGAGAAAGCAAGATTGGGGTTATTCCAAGAATGAGTAACAAGAATAAGACATTGGACGTTAGGGAAGGTGTTCCTCCTAATGGAAGCATCCCTCCGAAGGGAAGGGAAGAAGTCTTGGAGAAGAGCAGACTAGTGAGGGGCGCAGACGAAGAAGGTGACCACGGGAATGAAGAGAAAGTGAAGGGGAAATATGAGGACGCGGCTATGTGTGCTTTTGCGGGGGGTGCGGCTTGCAGAGTGGCTGATTGTGCAGTGGGCCGCTATCTAGAAGGAGAGAACAACAGGCTGGTGAAAACATTAGGAGTCAACACAGAAAGAGGGAGCATCGGGACGGGTGGCGACTCGCACAAAGGGTCAACTTCCTGTCTGCCGGAGTTGGAAAATGAGAATGCGAATGGGAACAGTGACCACAACGGTGACAACCAAAATGGTGTCTCGAAGGAAGGGTCTGCGGAGGGACTGACTCGATACGGCAGTGGCCTGCGGGGCGAAAGCCACAGCCAGTATGGCAGTAGTAGTACAGTAGATATGTGCGCGCAAAACCTTGATGAGATTTTTCTCGGAAGGGTTGAGAAGAGCGGAATTGAATCGGCCCGTAGGAAAAGGGAGGGGATAGTACGCGGTTTGATGGAAAAGCCATCGTTGGGGAATCATGAACACAAGAAGAGAAACCACCATGACGGGGTCCACCATGACGCGGCCCACCATAAGGAGCTGCTAAAATACTTCCATGAGATGCAACAGTGTAGCGGATGCTCGGTGCTGGAGAGGCTGCGGACGGAAGATGGACACTCTGAAGGGGGCGTCAGTGACGAGCATGGTGAGGGGCGCATGGACAGTCCACCTGGATTGGGCGAATACGGGGGGGAGAAAGACTATGCCAACTTTAGGCCGTATAACTTATTTTCCCTCTTTAATAAAAACAGTCTCGACCTAAACGGATTACCGGATAACTGTGACGTGAAGACCGCATCACACAGGTGTGTCTCCCAGGATGAAGTCATCCTAGAGCCGATGGGGAAGGGTAGCAGCAGTAGCGACCGCGCCGGGAGGAATCACCTTGCGAGTACCACGAGTACCGCGAGTGTCTCTAATGAGAAGAGGGTAGCTGAACCGGTCCCCTCTAAGCACAGAAGAAGCGATGTCCCTGTTTACTCACTTGCAGGCAGGGGCAATAGCGGCGGCAACAGAAGCAACGGTGGAACGAACATCCGCCCCTGCTCCATGAATTTGCCAGGCGAATCCGTAATAGGGAAGCGTTTCGGGAGGAGAGGAAGAAACGGAGTCCTAAGTGGTAATCTAACTGATGACGGACGTGTTGACAGAGGTGCAGGGTGCGCGAGAAACGCCGATGGGGGAGATTCGCACGTGGCTGCCTTCGATGCAGTGAGTCATGCACACCCATTTTGTAAGGGTGAAAAGAAGGTGAGCCGTAGGAAAGGAGCCAAATTGAGTAAGACAACAGGAGAAGAGCATGTGACCCCCGCGGAGTATGATCTTAGCGGTGGTTCCATCGATGAATGCCTAAGGGAGAAGCACACTGTGAGGAGTCTCACCACGTTGGAACATGACACCCAAATGAGGAAGGAGGCAAGACTAGCAGTAGCCACAGAAAGAGAAAAAAATAACAACACTCTCAATCGTCAAGTAAGATGCAACTCTCCAGTGATGAATAATTATCCCGATGGAAGTTACGATTATCTAGTCCACTCGAATGAAGACGATATCTTCAAAAGGGAGCATCATCTGCTGTATAGGTGGTTAGGGCTGTCCTCGTTAGGTGAAAGTTGCCCCATGGGGATGGACGGTTCTGGAGAAAATCCCCTTCTCACCCTGGATGATGAAGAATCGTACTTATTAAATTTATATACGATGGGAGGGATTGAAAATGTCCTATGGAGCGAGAAGGACATGAGTTGTTGCTCCAGGGGTAGCAAGTCAGGGAGAAGCATCTCAAAGAGGAGCATCTCAGGAAGAAACATGGTCCACAATGGAGCACAGTCTCCACTGAAGAACAAGGAGGAAGAATTTTATGACTCGAGTTTGGGTAACATCTCAGTTGCGTACGAAGAAATGGGAAGTAACAACATATTTATGGGCAATTACAACTGGGACGATAAGGAGGAGAAACTTGTGAGCCCCGATGAGGGGGCTGTCAGGATAGGCAACAAGAGAATGGAGATGATGGCGAGCCAAGCGAGTAACCAGAGGATGGTGCAGAGGAAGAAGAGTGATGTTGCGAAAGAAGGCAATACACATTTTGAGAAGAATGATTACTATGGGGACTTAACTGAGAGGAAGTTTTTCTCCAGGCCTCAGCCTTCTGAAGGGGTGGAGTGGAGCTGCAGCAGGGGAGGGGAAGCGAACTTGATAGGCGACCTCTCCTGGGATGGTTCGAAGTGGGATGATCCGAAGTGGGACCAAGTCGGTCATGAGCCGCTCGCCAGCGTACACATGGACGATGGTGGAGCAGGTGGATGCTCCAATGGGCTAGTGGGCAGCCGGAACGGAGGCGCAATGAGCTCCTGGAGAAGCAACACGGAGAAAGGAAACGGATCGGATAAGGGGAGGAGTCACGCGGAACATGTGAATCAGGCGAGTCACCCAAACCATGCAAGCCACGCTCTGACAGCGGCCTTCCTCAACTATGACTATGAGAAAGAGATCGAAGACGACGTAGTGCGCAGTTTCTTGGAGGAGAAGGACTCCGCCGCGTGCGACCGCCTGGACAGTTCCTTCCTTTACGACTTCCACGTCGGTAATGGGAGGCCTTTTTTCAATCATGGTGGCGATGGTACGGTAAGCGCCAAGGAGAAATACTCTCTATATGACGACGAGAACGCCGCCGCATTTGACGATGGCGCCTTCTGCGTCGACCTGTCAAAGGACCTGAACCTCCACTTCTTTAGCCAAGATGGCTAGAGGGCTTTGGATGCTGCAGCCCAAGTGGACTATGTTAGTCCCCCTTCACATCGGTGCTTAAGCTGACCCATTCTTCTTCCCTCTGCTTCGTCTTAAGGTTCTCCCCAGGGGACCCGACCGCGCGGGGGGATTCATGAAAGGGGTTGCTATTTATGCGATCGTCGTGGAGAAATGTAGAAAGCTTCTGCGCGACGGATTCAAACAAAAATCTTTGCATAACCATTGTTGATTTACCTGAAAGTGGGCATAACGTATTTTCATTCCTTGTTGTTTTGTTTTCTTTTCTTTTTCCCTCAATTTGTGCCTGTTCCCTTGTCACATGTGTTTCCAACCTGGGTCAAACACCAACTTGTGGCTTTCCCCATTGTACCTCTACCTTATGGTACACCTTGCCTTGTGCGATATTAAGAAGAACGACTTCGTCTTTGTCTTTTTTACGGGTGGGACAAGTGAAGAGAAATCACCAACACCGGAAGCAGCGGCGACGGTAACGACAACGCCCTTTAGACGGGAGGGGGAACGTATAGCGGTTTATTTTGAAATGGTTCGAAGGAAACTCACTCCTTTGATGTTAAGTCGACATTGGACGTGGGTAAGTTACAGAAGGGAGGTAGATTCACTTTTCCATTTTTGTGTTTTTTTTTTCTTTTTTTCTCCTTTGTGGGATTGTACACCTATTTAATACGTGGGAGGTAATAGGGTTGACCTGGGATGCGCTTCTAATCTTTTTAGATCCTCACAAGCGACCTTAGCATGTGGTGTTTGGGGGTTCCCCTCGCTGGCTTTGTTTTGCATGCTTTCGATTCAGCGCAAAGGTAGGGTGAGAAGTAGTGAGTATGGGATTATAGAAAGGATAAATTTGTTTCACTTGGTGGGGAAGACGATGGTGAGGATCGATTTAGGCGCTCGGTCTCCTGTCTGTTTGCCCCACTCCGCAAAGGAGTCAGGGAATCAACAAGTCGAGTCAGCGAGTCACTTCATCGTTCCGGTGGAATTCTTGTTGTGCACTTGGGAAAAGACCCTTTCTTTGTGCATTTCCAGGAGGCTCTACTGGGCTGGGGGGACGCTCAGGGCAGCCTTACTGGCATGCTGAGTACACCCTTCATAGTCTCTCCACAGTCTGTACTCAAAGGCATATAACATGTTGTCCACGAGTAACTCTTGGATGCAGGAGTTTTCACTCGCATAATCACTAGCCTGCTTGTTTTCTTCAATTTTGATTGCCACCTTGATGTTGGAAAAGGCCCGAACGGAGGTGTAGTCCGCAGTGGAGTTTCCATTGGCAAGGATTAGCTCGGTCTTCTTAACCACGGTTTCTTCAGTGGCTGGATTAGTAACATATATCCCTATCGTTTCTATGATGTGTGGGCCCACGTTGGACAAGGAGAAGACGAAGAGGTAGAGGAGGACCTTTTGCTCACTACAGTGGACTGCTGACAGGATGGTGCCTTTTAGCCCATCGTCATTGACGAATCTGTTCGCGCGAGTGAGGTAGTAGCGTCTCGTTTCGCTCCTCTGGATGTTCTGGATGGATACATTTATGTGATTGCTGCGTCCGTCGGGGGGATCGTTGGACTCAGAACGGTTCGTTGAGGTGCTTGCGGTGTGATCGGCCACTCTGTGTGGGGGGCTTCTTGAGCCATGGATTCGGTTTATCCTCCTGGCCACAGCTGCGCTCTCCCTTTTTATTCGCACGGACGCCTTCTTCATTTGGCCATCATGTACATTTCCCCTCCTGGATAGTGCCCGTTTTATTTTGTCCAGGAGGAACTTCATCGTTCAGGCAAAGGGGAGGGTTCTCATAAGTGGGTTTGTAACCAAATAACGAAAAAAAATAAAGAAAAAAAAATTTCAACACGTCCATGCAAAAAGGGGGTAAGTTCTGTGGCGGAGAAGTCTTTACCATGTGAGGTGAACTTGCTGGTAGTTCTTCCTCTTTGGGATGAACAGGGTGACCATCGAACCGCTTCCACATTTGAAGGATGGGACGGGAGGGCTGGACGTCAGCCAACACCAAGCTTAACTGCATTGTAGCAAGTGCGAAATGGCAGGTGTGCAATCATCAGGAGGTGTACGTACACCTAGTCACAGGGGAGAGTCATTTGGGAGACACACCGATGGGTCAACAAGAGAAGTCATTCCTCCTGCGTTCATCTGTTCAGATATTTGTGTAGTTAATCTGTATGGTTAGTCTTTTCTTCTTTTTTTTCTTTTTGTTCTTTCTGTTCTCTCCTGCGCTTGGGAGAGAAAGCGTTGTTCAGTGGTAACCAGGTGAAGCAAAATGGACACGTTTTCCCATTCTGTAAAAGCCAGAGGAACCGGGTGAAGGGCGCTTCATCCCTTCCACTGGAAGGACAATCAATTATTTCATCGTGCTTATGCTTTGTAAAAACCACTTCTTGTAGCTACTTCGCGGGGGGCAGCTTCACTTGGGATGGAGACGCTGCCACACAAAGAACTGCTGACAATGGGGGTGGGTGTCTCTTGAATGGATTCCCTGCGCCAATGCAGGCAGGTGCAGAGTGGAGAGGCACCAAAATAAAGGTGTACCCATCTGCGGAAATACATCAAATGGACGCTGAGGGTGTGGTGGTGCCGCAAGGGTGAACCTAGTGCTACACGACGGGACATCCCTCATGTTCGCATGCACTCCTAAAAGTCTTACATGCGATGGAAAAAAAAAAAAAAAAAAAAAAA